ATCTTAGGAGCAAATAACTCGGAGATCCTTGGCAGTTTGATCCTCGTAAGGAATTGGGAGTACTGCTCTGAATAGTAGTAAACCCGGGGGCAGTGATCTGAGGTTGAAGTTGAACACAGCAGACCAGCAACCCGCCGCCAGCCAGTGGCAGGTGTTCCTTGAACCCCCGCATCAGTGCATGCAGTCGCGCGCGCGCGCGCACACACACACACACACTCCCTAGGTTTACATACTTACACTCTCCCCTTCTCTCCATTCCTCTTTCTGAGGGAAGACCTGACTATGGAAAGGACCCGGAAGAGAATAAGAGATCATGGGACTATTACTAGCTATACTGCGATCGATTCCCTACCGTTCCCAGTGGACTCGCAACTCCTCGTACACTTTGACTCAGCCACTTTGCCCTTCGTCGTCCGATGCACTGCGCGCGTGCGTATAGTAAATCATAGTAGCATACTGGATTGGCTTGGGTATGTGACTGGACTATAGGGATGGTTGTATGTAGTATGACTATGGGCTAAATGTACACACATACAGTACTTGCACACCTCTCCGCCATCAGGCAATGGGGAATGTCGATGGGGCTGTCTCGCTGTTGTCTCTATCCGTCTCTATCTTCTAAGACCCAAAGGAGAAAACACAATGCTTGTTTAACTAGCGGTCGGCATGGAATCTGAATTCTTTCGCATGCTGCTGCTTCTATGCTAGACTACCACTTCCTGCTGCTGCTGCCGCCGCCGCCACTGCTGCTGCTGTCTCAAACGTGAAGAAAGTCAGCAAGATCAATCCTCTGCTCAAAAATGGTCAGCCTTTTTACCTAAAGAGAACAGATGAAACCGAGACAAGCGAGGAAATCCCGAGAAGAGCATGAAGGAAGGAAAGACATTCATCCCAAGAGGGGGTCTTCCGGTCAAGCCTTGAGTTTACCATACCATACCAACCTTCCCGTGATGTACTAAGTAAGGGTACACACAACTGACTGACCGCGTGACTGCTTTCTTGCTCCACCGGCCCATTCCATCCTTCTCCGATGATGATGATGGTGGTAATGATGATGATGTTGTTGTTCTTGTTGCTGGTGAAGTTGTCATTGTTATTGTTATTATAGGGTGGTTGTTAATGTCGATGATAGATTCATTGTCCACGGTGTACCTGCCTCTTTGCGCCAACAATGTAGGGCAGAAGTGGCTGCTAGCCTTATTCTCAGTGCGAGACATTTGATAGTATCCACCGGATCCTTCCACTATGATTCAGGAACAAATGCATGGCTGATATAGGACAGCATAGCATACTGACCCCATTCATTCCTTACTCCTTCAGTCAGAGGGCAAGTACCAGGCGAGTACCGGATACACCTGTCCCATCGCCAGTTGAAACAGCGATGAAATCACCCGACAGCGAACTTTCCATCATCCTCTCACACCCCCTGGTCGCGCTGACCGAACAACGAGCAAGCTAAAGCGCCTGTCCACGATGCTGGCCCCCCGTTACATACTTTCCTAGGCGAGTGATGATAAAGAACAGAACTGCCGATCTGCGATCGGGTAGTGGCTGAACTGCGATTCTCCGCTATTACCGCCAAGTGCGAGCAAGCCTTCCTTTCTCTCCTGTTCAATAGAACGATGACTAAGATGTGCCAGGCTGCCAGCAATGATTATTTGGCTGGTGGTTCAGGGATTCATGATCAACTGTCACTTGATATTGGATGGATTTCCTACCGAAAATCCTGATCGGCGCATAACTCTTGCCGCCTCCGCCTCCTCATTTCCAATCTCGCACGGCACACAGTCCTTAGACTTACATACACGAGGCGGAGCAGAAGGTCAATTTCAGAGCCACTGTCATCATTCATCACAGACTGTCATTCATCACAGTCGATTTTAGAGGGGGCGACTAGTACTACTGGGCGTGGAAGAAAAGGATCAATCGTCTCCCTCCGTGTCCATCACCTAGTGCTTGGACCCCATCAAGCTATCCACAATCCACCTTCCTCGGCTGCTCCCCTTTTTTTTTTCCGCGCTCTGCTACCAGCGTAGGCAAACGGAGTCCAGTCGTGGTACGTACACCCTCTTGGCTATCGTTATTGCCTACCAGGCTACCAAGCCCCGACCGATACTTGTTCTCAGGTACAGTAAGCACCTACCAACCTACCAAGCAAAATCAGGTAAACTAGTCCAGTAGTTGGTGATAGATAGCCAGGTACCAACCACCAACCTAGCAGTAGCAACCCACCCTCTTCGAGCTTGGGGGATTTTTTCCCTGGCAGATATGCAACATTTCCCAGATCACAAACCCTTGCACTGCTCACCGTTCACCGTTCATCGTTCACACACTTTTTCTGGTATCTACTGATTCAATCTACCTTCCTGTCATTCAATCAAAGGTGCATATTCAACAACCCACCTGGCAGCAGCAACAAGGAAAAACGAAACAAGAAAGAAGAGAAGTAGAGCTCAGGCACAAGCCCCCCCTCCCCCCCCCCCGGGCCCCTCAATCAATCAATCAATCAATCTATGAATCAATCAATCAAATCATAGTAGCAGAAAAAACAAGGGTCCCCATTTCCGAACCCAGCATTTCTCTTCAATCTTTGATTTGCCAGAAGAAGGGCAAATATGAAAAACACTAAAAACTATTGTTTTCCAAGTAACCCACTCGAACTACTGAAAGAGACAAATCCAATCCCACCCCTCCCCCTCCTCCCTCCCTGTCCCTCTTTTTTTCACCTAGTCCACCTCCCCTCCAGAAAACCTGCATGGTGGCTTTCAGCCCAAGCCGTTAGATGTGAGGACCCAGCAACAAAAAAAAAAAAAAAGGAAAACAAAATATCGTTTGGGGTTCCTGACTCGCCGGTTCTACGAGTCCTACCACCGCTGGCTGTTATTTGGTAGAGAAGGACGAACCATAATCTTATTTCCGCTTGTTGACCCTTGGATCGATATTCGGAGATTCGGAGTATATCCACAGATTAGAAAATTCTGGTTCAATTTGAACTATATCCTACTGCTGTGAGATATACCACTCACTGCCACGAGGGGTGTTGGGACAGGATATCTAATCACCGTGGCTTTTCGCTCTTAGCTATACACCAGTGAGAACACCACCAACTGCGGAAGAAGAGAATCAAACACACAAACTACACCCCTTCCCTCCCCTGAGCAGGGAGGGGCCGTAATCCAATCGAAACCTCCCTATTTGAGTATCGAGTATATCAAATCTCAAATTCAGAATCCTTCAAACAGAGACCACGCTCCCGTCTTTCCCCCAAGACTCGAACGAACCCTTCCAGAATGAGATTAGAAGCCCCCCCCCCGTCCCCATCCCCGATCCTTCCTGGAACCCGTTTCCACAGCCCCGGATATCCATACGCAGTAGAATGTAATATACAACCCCTTGACTTCTTCTCTTCTAGGTTTCTCTCCAGTCTAGCAAGCACAGAAACACAGCTTCTTCCTACGTGTGGTACAACAACAACAACAACAACAGCAACAGCCAAACGCAGCAAACCCAACAAATAACTATTCCATCATCCGAAGCACCCTTTCCAACAACACCCCCCTCCCTCCAATCATCCATACAACCCCACTACAACCACGGAGTATACTTAATCTAAAGCCCTACTCCGTACTCCGTACTCCTACTCAAACAAAGAGAAAACGTGGCAACGGGGTTCGTGCCCCCGCCTACTATACTCTACTACTCCTAGAAAGTGAAAACTAGAAACTAGAAACAGCCCAATCGAGTCAAATCACCAACCAACCAAGCCACCATCACATCACCGGTCTAGTATATATCTCCTCCTCCTCCAAAAGAAAAGGAAAAAAAAACCCCCCCATGTGAAAAATGGACCCTCGGCTTACTCCGTTGCCGGAGCGGCGCCCCGATTTTATTGATTTAGTGGTAGTTAGTACTAAGTGCTACGTACCGGAGTACTAGGGGTTATAATGGCACCGCTCGGGAAGTATAATATCCTCCCTAGTACTGAGATGGGTCACTCAGGGGAGGGCGGCGGCGTCGTCGTCGTCATCATCATCATCATTGTCAAGTTATCGTATCTAGTGGGACTGAGGGAGGGGGATGAAAGGAAGGAATTTAGAAGGTATTAGACTGTTCTCAAAAACCACAATAGTTAACCACAATTAGGTTGAGACTGGGGAGGGAGAGTCCAAAAAAAGGAGAAATTACGGAATCTGCCGAGTAACCGAATTAAACGCCCTCTCTCCCTCCCTCCCTGTTCAATTTAATTAATTTGGACGGGAACGGAATTGCAAGCCGTAGTTTTGTTTGATAGTAGTACAGTACATACCGAACAAACCGTATAAGGCAGAAAGCGGGCACAGGATGAAGACATGAGAAATGAAGGAAGGGGATGCGAGTCCCGTGAGTCTCTGAAGTCAGCATCATCAGCATCATAACTACTGTAATCAAGGTTACGCTGACTTTGTTGCCTGCCTTGCCCAACTACCGACCGAACGAACTTGCGGATCATGATCCTTCGGGGAGAACGTCTCAAAAACAAAAAAGATTCAATTCCCGTCTGGCTTACATCATTTCAGAGAGTTCATAATGCAGATCTTCGTCCGGTCTGTCTGCTGATTACACATGATCTCCCCAGCTCGTTTCTTTCCTGTGATGACTGCCGTGTGCCGGCTCACACTTCACTTCCCAGGGACGATCTCACGTTATACCACTAAGTGTCGTTCTGTCGGTCAGATGGGGCCGGCATATACGGGGGGAGGCAAAGGGGTTAGCCGCGGTGAGCCAAAGCTTTCCTTCGCCCCCTTCTGGCAATCTGCCATGGAATATGATGTATGATGTATGATTCAAAGAGCCTACACTCGTTTGGGAATTTGTGGGATCAAAAATCGTATGCATGCACGGCTACAGCATCGGGTGACGCAGGTGCCTTGCCACCAGGCGCCAATGCCCCATGTCTATAACGGCCCCTAACATAAGTATAATCGCTAATTTATACATAATGACCTAAGCAGGCTCCTTAATCATGCTAGAGACGGTGAGCTCTTCCACTGGTAGAGTGCCCGCAACACCGCGATGCCCCCTGACTGCGTCTCGACAGTGCGTCCTCGGCCCCGATCGTTGGCATCATGCTTGCTCTGCTCGATCACGTCTGGCTGTTCTACTGCAGAGCGTGACCACCCGGATGCACGCCCCCAACCGTAGGGTTGCTCTCCGAAGGCAGAGCCGGACTTCTCATCGGCGACTGTCCGCGATTCACGACTTCGCAAGAGTCCCGTCAGCGCTTCGGATCCCTCATCCCGCGCCCCATAATTCTCATAGTCGATCGCCCCAAGCGGCAGGGGACTTTCGTCCATGATAGTGCTGCCGGACGCGCGGGACTGGTTTCCCCACCACATGCCAAACTTGCCGTCGCTGTTCCGGGTCACAAGAGCCGCGTTCGCATTATGCTCGATCCACGGTCGATATGCGCGACAACGAGCCTGGTGCCACTCGTACACATACTGCCAGCCCTCTCCTTCCTCATCGGTCTGGTTCGCACTGGCCAAGAATCGCAGCTCTTGCGGCCGAATAGGCCGACAAAAATCCGCCAGGTGGTGGAAGAAGATACCCTTGAACGTATGACTATTCTGAGAGCAACTTGCGGAGGAGTCGCACGCTTCCTCCAGAACGCCGCCGCGGCCGAGACCTTGCCACTGGTGACTGTCCCTCTTGGGCCATCCGGTGGCCTTCATCACATTCAGGACGAGTCGGTGGCCGTCATACAGGTATTGTTGCAAGGCAGTTGCCAACCAGAGCCCCCTTAGCCCGCTAAGGATCACTCCCTGGTTGTAGGTATATACCATAGTGTTGAGGACATCGCACTTGCGCGTGCCGGGTCGATCGTCGCTTTCCCAGCCACTTATATGGAAGCCGTCGCCATAGAGCCCATTGCTCGCGGTCATGTTAGAGGAATTGAGCCAGGCATAGCCCTCAACAGCGGCTTGCAGGTGAGCCGGGTTATGGGGATAACCATCTGACCAGTTCTCGTCGTCCACGATTCCTGCCACAAAGGGAGAATCAATCTTGTCACCCGGGAAATACAGGTACATCCCAATGCTCGCCGAGATATATAATTCGTTCGTGATGGCATTCTTGTAGGGAGACAAGTAAGGGCTCCAAATCATTCCACCACCACAAAGAAACTCGTCCCATCCCCCCGACGCGAGGCCGTAAAATACACGTGCTCGATGTGCCGCCGGGGATCGAAACTGAGTTCCGTGCCAGCGTAGCTTCGCAGTGGAGTTGGGCGAAAACGGGTCGTCATAATGCAGATCAGAGTGTAAGACCTGAAACTTTATGTTTTCCAGCCAACCCAGGACTACCCACAGCATATCATCAAAGGCCTGACCGCGCAGGGAGATGGCATTCTCGCCGAAGTAGAACGCCGACGTCTGATCGAAGAAGTGGTTGATCAAGTTCTCCGAACCCAATTCATACAGGCCGCTCTTCGTCGATCGCTGCCAATCTTCGATATCATCCAGCGTTACGGCGGTGGACGTCAGCGAGGAGAGTGTGGCCGAGACATGGGTGCCGAGCACGGCCGCAGTCCAATCGATACTGGACGGCCAAGTGCCTTGCCACAGTTCGAAGTAAGCGTCCTGCATCACATTGAGAGCATCGAGCAGGTCGTGCAATGTGCGGCTGATGCTCTCGCTGGACTCGAGAGGCGAATCCGGGGCAGGCAGGGGGAGCTGCTCTGACGGTACATTTGGCTCCTCGAGCGGAATCTGTGCGTTCAGAGCGAATGGCGCAAGGACGTCCTGCGACCGCAACGCCAGCGCATTGGTCTCAGACAGGGTTAGGAGCAGGCAGAGAAATCTAAGAATGACCAGAAATGCTTGCATGATTGTAATTCTGTTCTAATTGTATTTACCCCGGATCCGTAGGGTTGGGATCGGCTTTGCGAACGGCTGGGTAACCAAGGGAGGGGAGGGAGCCGTCGTAGAGCGGCGGCAGCAGCAGCAGCAGCAGCAGCAGCAGTGGGGAGATAAGACGGTATGACAACTCTCTTTTTGATTAAAAATAGTTATTCAGAGACGCGGGGATTGATGGGAAGCATGGAGAGTGAAAAGATGATCAAATGAGACATGATCAAGCGCTCAATGCTGCCCAGTACGTGTCATGAGGAAGGGAAGGAGGAACCCGGTTAGGTTCAAGCGAAGATGGTGGTGATGACGATGATTGATTGATTGATAGATAGATAGATTGGAAGATCCGGCGTTGTGCGGGGAAGGGAAGGAAGGGAAAGAGAGGGAAGGAAGGAGTCTGTCTCGGCGGGCTTAACTAATCCTACCTTGGAATGAGCTCCATTTCTTTCCACGGCTCTTGCTGCCCAGTAAGTTGCAACTCTTTCGCTGTCTTGTTCTTTCTTGCAGTTCCATCTTGGTAGGTTTTGTATCACGCGCCCTGCTTCTGGTCGCATACCATTCAAACCTAACTCGACCAACCCCCGGAACCCCGACGATCTTCTGATCGCTTCGTTTGTCCCGGTGCCTGGTGCCTTTTCCCCCGCATCTACTTATCCGATGATCATTTACCAATTAGCCGGAGAGTGCTTACAAGGATCCGTGGTATTCATCGGTCTCGTGGATGAATGGCGCCTTTCATGCAAATCAACAAGATGAGCAGAAGCATTCTGGTTGAAAGGTGCTACAAGCATTGTAATGCCACGCGACACTCGTATTCGGTGGGCTCAACCGACACATAAAGATTAAATAAACGCTAGTAGACATAACGGGATATCTAGCTCTGTAACATCATGCATTCAGGCTGGATGTTTCTGCTGGGACGTTAGATGACAGTCACGAAGCATGAACGGGACGGACCAGAAAGTTGTAGCACATACCATATCGTCGAAACCTCATGACGCCGGCAGATCTCCTGTGATGTCTCCGTCAGGCGACGCGCATAACATGAACGTTTCAGGAGACAATGCCGGCTTTGTCCTGCTTCCCGGCCCCTTAGGCAATCTAGTTGAGCCAGCTTCTAGTATCTCGAGTTTGGACAATCCTCAACAGCCAGCGATCCTTATTGTAGTGCAAGCGCAGAAAAGCAGAATTCCAATACTGGAGGGGTTTTGGAGCAAGCGTAGACCAAGGTTCCGGCGCACGCATAGCCTGAGAGATGAATCGAATAGAAGATACTCTCTCAACACACCGATATCACGACGGGCTTAGTCCCGTGCATCCTCGGCTCCAGGGCTGCGGCTCCTCTCACGGCTTCTGCTGCGGTTTCTTCCACCACCCCGTCCGCCTCTGTGTCCTCCACCCTTGCCTTTGTTCGAGGGAGGTGGCCTAACGAATGCGAAATCGACAGAGATGGTTTGATCCAGCAATTTGGAGCCGTTCAAGGCTTTGATGGCTTCCGATGCTTCGGGGAGGGTTGAGTACTCGATCAAGGCATACCCCTATAGAGCCACAAGCAGTCAATATCTCACATCAGAGGGAAGATAGGGAAAATCGTATTGAATAGGCAAGAGGCAGCAAATCTTCGCAGCCGAGCGCTATCGAGCCGGGTGGAAGCTAAGGGATCATAACCGACCTTGACGTAACCCGTCCGGCGGTCCAAGTTCAAACTGAAGTTCTTGATTTCTCCGTACTCGGCGAACAGATCTGTAACGTCTTCCTCGGAGGCCTCTTCGTGGATGTTGGTCACGATGATAATCCATCCCTCGATACTGCGTACTGCGACGGCGTTCGCCTGTGTTCTCGGATCGTGGCTACCATTGCTTGACTGCGCGGGAGCTTCTTCCTCTTCTTGTTGCAACACCGGCGGGTCGACTTCCATTTCTGTAGACATGGTGACGATATGAGAGTAGCAGCTGGATGCCACGGGGAGAAGTAGCTTTCAGGTAGGTGCTTTGAGGAGGAGCAATGGTCGGACAGGTAGTTCCACGTTCGGGCTTGCGATCGGATCTTGCGAAGCTTTGCGGTGTGCTTATGTAATCTGACTGACGTCCAAGCCAAAGTGACTGCCCGGCACTAACATCTTTCCATGCTACCAGTTTGATAGGTGGTGAAAAAGCACGGTTGCATTTGGCGTTCAGGCCCGATTAATTCTCTTCTTGTGAGGATACGAGTGAGTCTGGCTGTGTTGTTGAGCGGTTCTCAATCAGAGAGTTGGGACTCAAAGCTTGACAATAGTATTGTATGTATGTGATAACGTAGAAAAGCTAATCATTAACACGACAGCCACGCACCACATATTGCACAGAGTCATAGTAGTATACATCCCCAATGATAAGTAGCCCCCCCGGGCCTCATATTATTTTTACCAGAGCCTATTAGAGCCTATTAGAGCCCGGTAGCCGCTATCTTAGTCTTTTGCAACCTGTAAGCGTAGTGCTAGTTCGCAATTCAAATCTAATTAGTGACCATCACTAGATGTATCCACTCTCCACATGTCCCTTGCAATATCTGGAAAATTGGATTCCCTTGTATGAGAGATGCTGGGGCCTGATTCAAGGTACAGAGTTATCTCAGATACTTAGTCTCGTATATCAATGTGCTGAGCGCGGCTTGCTAAGTCTCGAACTGCAGTTTTGATCAGGTCCCAGGACTATAAATCACCATATGAAGGCAATCTAGAGCTGAGAAGTCACCCAAGTAACCAGTATATTCGACATGTCAGGTATTTTCATTTGACTCTATCTCAGGATACAACAGCGGCGACTGAGAGGTTGATAACATGGATCGAATCTCTACGAACGCGATAGCATAGTTCTATTAGTGCTAGGATTCTAGGTATCTAGATAAACATGGCATGTGGTATGGCACTGGCAACTCTCACCAATTCTGCTCTTCATCCAAATGCAGTGCTTTGGTTGGAGCTCATGTCTGAGTTGTAGAGTAGGATCTCGAAGTGAAGTGAAACCTGAGCCATGTTGTGTTGACAACCCAAATCACCCCCGAGAAGTGTTCCCAGTGTAGACAGCCAGTGATGCTCAGTGAATGCACAGCATCAACACGTCGATAATCGAACACCGACTATTGCTTCTAAAATAGTCCTCCTCCCCTCTCTTCGTTCTCGCATGCACACATCCTCACAGAGCTCGTGTCGTGTCATTCACAGACAAGTCTCAACACAAGCCTAAGCAAAAGCCACCCCAGCCCACCATGGAGTACTTTCATGCACTTCACCCTCGTGCGCCCGAGATACCGACTGCAGAAGACGACCAGACCAAGCGTGTATCCATAGCAAACACTCCATGGTAAAAGTCCTCGCTTCACCACGAGGGAAAAGCCTTGAATCTGACAGCTTCATCTCTCGAGTAGCGACGACCCAGACTGCGGCTGCCACTTCAAATATCCTATACGCTTTCCAAAGCTCGAAGCCATCCTCTGCGGCCCTGAACCAGGCCAGATCCGCGAGTTGCATCGGGAGAACGCCCAGCTCGATGTGGCCTTCGACGCGGTCAGCAACCACATGTTCATCAACGAGCACTACCCCAATCCTCTCAACCGCCGCGTATCTCTGGACATCGGCCTGATCATCAAAGCCAAGAACGTGCAATTCATCAACCTCGAGGGCCTATCCGACCACTCCCTCGTCCTCACGCTGCGGATCGGACGCACTGCCTCCGCCGTGAGAGGCAGCAAGATGATCGTGAAGGAGAAAGTGCGCGGCTTCTTCGCGAGTCCGCCCTACATGCGTCTCTTCGAGGATTTCTACGAGTGTCGCTGGCCCGAGAAATATCTCCAGATCCGCATGCCCGAGAGACGATGCAAGCGCTGGAAGACCGTGGCCCTGATCCTCAAGACGTTCAAGCAGATCAGCGCTGAGAACTATTGCCATATGGCCGAAATGATGATGACCCCACGTGTTGGAGGCTTGAATGTGCGCGCGATCAGGAAGGAGATCAAAGCGAGGAAGGAAAAGGGGCCGGATAAGGTCCGCCGCCAGGATCCTGTCTCAGCGCAGTACAAGGTTGGTGTGAACGACGCGGAAAAGATTGAGCGTATCAATCAGGCATATGAGGTCCACCTTATGGCCTTCATTCACAGCTCATCCCCTTTCACCCCACGAGAGTATAAGGACAGACTCTCCGGATAGCTGTTAGGGGCTTGTAGCCTGCGTGGGCGTTGCGCATCGTCTAATCTCTACTCAGCAACACGAAGGCAATGCAGTGAGATAAAGAGGGGGTGCAGACGTCTTACGGCTTGCGATGCTTGTTGCTTCATGCAATGGCTTTTGAATGAGCAAGGTCATAGAGCTCAGCTCGAAAGCATGCAAACGCATCCAAAATTTCGGCTCACATAAGGTGTTCAGGTCTTCGTCCCGATCTTTGCAACGGCAAACCTCCGGGAGCTTAGCGCAGGTGTTTCCGGTGGGAGCATATCTATGTCTTTTTAATTCCGACGGATCTTTTCATGATATGGATGGCATGTTAAAAAATAATAAACTAATGTGAGTATGAGGAACTAAGCATGAAAGATCGTGATCGGTATAAGCTTAGTTACCTGCATTCTTGATCAAATAGTCCGCAGCGTTGAAGCTACTGACCCGATAGAAGCCTCACTTTAACAAGCCTCCCATCTCACTTGAAGAACAATCAGTCTTCTGATTCATTCGTGCTAAGCTTGTCAATTCGGCTCGGAGCATGGAGGCGAAAAAGTACAAACACTAATCCGTCCGTTCCCCTTGCATAGACACTTAGTATAGGTGACCACATCTACCCTACCTTCTTGCTAGAAACGTTTCTTAATGGGCTCTCTATCTCCTGGATCGAACGGAGGAGCTCCGTATCGTACTCCTTCAATTGACATCTCTATTTATTCTCGAAGTCATCCTGCTGAGAACATTGGATAGAAGGTTCTGATGTCTGACCCTCGAATTATAAGCGCTGGTGCCAAACTTTTCAGGTAAGACAAAGTGTTCGATCTGTCCCTTACCTATATTCTTGTCAGTGCTAGATGAAATGAGAATATAAGAGATAACTAAGGAGTTCTGCCGACTTCAAAGACCGTGTGGTGGATGGCGGCACGCCGTTCCGGATTAAAACGCATTGAGAAAGTCGTTGTGAACATGAGTGCCGTCGCTCTCGGTCTCTCTTCCTCCTCACGGCGAGCATTCCTTAATCCGTTATTGAAGGATCGTGTGAGCTGCAAGTAACCGCATACCGGGCTGCAAGTGCGTTTTCGGCCATGATCGACTGTTGTTGCACGGCGGCTGGGGATAACCCTTGCATATGGCAAGGACTGCGATCGCTCCCTCTCCTGGACAATGAGCCAATCACATTTACTTGCGTCTGAACACGGCTTACAGCAGAAGTCAGGACCAAGAGATCGCCTCTGCATCGGTCATTTCCCCGCGAAATGTTTGCGCTTGTTCGTGCATCCGGAGTATTGCCTGCATGCTACCGTCGAAACGAGCGAGAACTGGAACAGCTGATACAAATGTCGCGGCCCTTCGAAGCACATGCTGATATGCCCTACCATCCAAAATAAGGGCTTCTAGACGGTTGTCCTTTTCGATTTCCGGCCAAATCATGAGTAATTGCTCCAAGTTCAGTGTCGGTAGTTCCTCCTCCCGGACAATATGCAAGTTGCTTTCCCCTTTGAACCATAATCATCGAGGGGTATCGGTCTATCCCTATGCTGAATTTGTTTGAGGTCAGCCACTCAAACTCTGGACTCTGTATCATCCTCCCGATCCCAATGTCCCCAGGCCTTAGCCTTGTCCGTTAACGTCGACTCTTTTAAGGGGTGGCATTGCTTCTGATTCGGATTTCCATCAAGACTGTCTATTCTCTTCTCGACCAGTCCTTCTTCCCTGGGAATAATCGCCCTTCTCATTTCCGTACATGCGTTGTCTTTCCTTAATTCTTGCGCGCGTGTACTCGTCCGTCTATGTATGACATCCCTAGACCACAGAATTTGTTAAGCGATTTCCTCTTGCCTTCTTTCTTTCAGGTCAGAGTATGGGAAGTTCATGAGAAAGGATAGTATCGGTCTTGAGAGCATCTCCTACATCATTGTCTTCTGCGGAGCTCCTCTTCCCACCCAGTCACTGGTACTAAAGCAGACTCCATGGTTGCATTAGGCACAATGGTGCAATGGCTTCACGCTCTGATGCTCATAAGCCCTTTCAGCACAGCATTAACGGCAAGCACAGGGGCATGGCGAACCAGATCCGTGTATCAAACGATGACAGACCGCTTTGCTCGCACAGATGGGTCGACCACTGCTCCTTGTAATACGACCGCGGGTCTATACTGTGGCGGAACGTGGAGAGGCTTGATCGGCCATCTGGACTACATCGAGGGCATGGGCTTCGACGCAGTCATGATCTCCCCGATTATCAAGAACATCGAGGAACGAGTACCTTACGGGGAGGCCTACCACGGCTACTGGGCCGAAGATTTGTATGCGCTGAACCATCACTTTGGGACCGAGCAGGACCTCCGTGATCTAAGCAAAGCCCTCCACGACCGCGGCATGTATCTCATGATGGATACTGTCATCAACAACATGGCGTATGTCACGAACGGCGCCGATCCAGCAACTAGCATCGACTATTCGAAACTGCACCCATTCAACGACGCAAAGTACTACCATCCATACTGCAAGATCACCGACTACAACGACTACCCTCTCGCGCAAAGCTGCTGGACAGGCGACGACATCGTCGCGCTTCCCGACCTGAAAACAGAGGACTCCACCGTCCAGCGGATGCTCAACGACTGGGTCCAAGAGGTCATGTCCAACTACTCGATCGACGGCCTCCGCCTGGACGCCGCCAAGCACATCACGCCCAGCTACCTGGCCGACTTCCAGAAGGCGGCTGACTGCCTGGTGACAGGTGAAGTGTTCGACCAGTCAGTCGACACGATCTGCAGCTACCAGGACGACCTGACCAGCGTACCCAACTACCCGATCTACTACGCGCTGCTGGACGCCTTCACGCTGGGCAACACGACCACGCTCCCCAACCGCGTGGAGGAGATGAAACACAGCTGCCCGAACGTAAGCACACTGGCGACCTTCTCCGAGAACCACGATGTCGCGCGCTTCGCAAGTCTCAAAGACGACCTCAGCGTAAGCCCATCCTCCACCTCTCCCCCTTGTTCATTCAATCTAATCCACCCAACTAACAATCCACCTACAAACCCACCAGCTCGCAAAGAACATCTTAACCTTCACGCTCCTCTCCGATGGCATCCCAATGATCTACCAAGGCCAAGAACAGCACCTCAGCGGCGCACACGACCCACTCAACCGCGAAGCCCTCTGGCTGACCTCATACGACACGCAATCCCCACTATACAGACACATCGCGACGCTCAACGCCCTACGCCACCACGCCATCCAGGTTGACCCCGCGTACATCGACACGTTGTCGTACCCGGTGTATCGGGGGTCAAGCGAGATGGCCTTCCGGAAGGGCCGTGAGGGCCGCCAGGTCGTCATCGTGCTGTCGACGCAGGGCTCCACCAGCGGCGCCTACAGCTTGCGCATGACGAACGGCTACCAGCCCTCCGTCGTCGTCGTCGACGTCCTCACCTGCCGCTCCTACACTGTCTCGGATATCGGCGAGCTGGATATTGCTATGGATAAGGGCGAGCCGCGCGTGCTGTACCCGATGGAGATGATGGAGGGGAGTGGGCTTTGTGGGTTTGAGCGGAGGGATGTTTCTGAGGAGGATTTCCGGAAGACTGATGCGGGAGGTGCGTCGGGGTCTGGGTCGACGGCGCCTACCGAAGGGTCAGGGTCCGGGAGGAATACTGGGTTGCCGTCGTCGGGGGCGGGTTCTGGCCATGTTGTGGGGGAGACATTGAGGTTGGTGGTCGGGGTTTTGGTGGCTTTGGGGATGGTTGTCTGTGGGGTATGAGGTGATGGTACGGGGTGTTTCTGGTTTGGAATGGATTGATACTAGTATATAAGTTCGTACGTGTTCGCTGTGTAATCGAACTGCTGAGCAAGAAACTACAAATACAATGATTACATGAAGTGGTAAAGGATAATGATGTTGGCGAGTGGAGATATTATTTCATTCCACCTCGTATGCGGATAACACTAAAGCTATGCATACATCTGTTGCTAAGCCCCTCCTGAGCACTCGAAACCGACTGCCAAGCAGAAACCATCGCTGTCTACCAGCATGGTGGGGAAAACCGAAAGTGCCCTAGTAAGATGCTCCATCTACAGGCAGTATCAAGGACTGTTGGGAAACATAAAAGGAAATAGAATTACAACGGACGCTTAAGCAGGACCGAAATATCAACCTTGTTCCAACTTCTCATCCAGCCGGGTCCCAGAAAGAATCCAGGTGCTGATGAGGTGAGCATTCAAGTGGGGTCATCGTATTGGCTCCGGAAAAAGCCAAGGAATGTGATGTTGTGAGTATTAGAAGCCGGGGCTTTACTTCCGGTTCTGGCGCATGCCCAAGATCTGCACCATGCGAACGAAGATGTTGATGAAGTCCAGGGTCAAGCTGATGCTCTCGTTGACGACATCCTTGCGGACGAGACCGCGCTGGGAGAGGCGAGCGTGGTGGAGAATCTTCTGGACGTCGTAAAGGGTGAAACCACCGAAGACAGCCAGACCGCCGTACAGCCAGATCTTCTCAGACCACATGAGAGTGCGGGTGGCGGTGGCGGGCAGGACCAGAGGAGCGAAACCGGAGAGAGCAACGAGGGTCACACCAGCAAGGAGAGGACCACCGAGGTACAAGTACTTCTCCTGCTTGGCAGTGGCACCAACGAAAGCGATGGAACCCATCATTCCGACTGTGTAGAGACCAGCACGGGCGAGCAGAGCCGGGCTCATGAACATCAGGGGAGACAGGAGAGCGGCTTGGGTGAGGTTGAAAGCTGTCCAGAGACCGTACTTCACGACGTAGCTAGTACTGCGGTTAGCATTGCTGTTCATCGTGACTAGATCAGGGAGACCGCGCAGGTACTTACTTGTCAGGAGAAGTGTACAAAGTGCCGTACATAGTTCCAATGCTAGCGACGAGACCGAGACCGATAACCATCCAAGGGCTGCTAGCCATCATGCGGTAGGAGAATCCATTCATGTGCATAGCCCGAGCAGCAATAGCGATAATACCAATACCAAGTCCAGTGTGCATGAAAGTCTCGTTCAGGTAGCTACGCTCGTATGCAGGCATGCCGCCATCCTCTCTCGTCTCACGGTTGAAGAGAAAGTTCGCCGCGACGAAGGTACCTCCGATGATGGCGGCACCGTAGGCCAGCTTTTGCGTGAGTTCACCGCGAGTGCTGTAATTGTAGGAGGAAGGCTGCATGTACGTCCGGCGGAAAGCATTCTGAAAGGTCTGACGAGATTTGGCGAAGATGGAAGCTGAGACGGGGCCGGTGGGCTTCGGCTGAGCCGGCTTGAACGGGGTGTTGTGGATGAATCGAGCGCTGTTAGCGGGTTTGGAAATTTGACGAAGCGCCGTCGGAACGGCAAACGGGCGCCGTAGGAAAAACGCCATGATTGTGACAGTCGTGTTGATGGATAAAACAATGACAGTCAGTAGGAGAGGAAGAGGAAGAGGGCTACTTAAAAGCGAAGCGATGATATCAATCCGGGGTGCCGCTGGCTACGGCGGCCCGAACGTTCGAGAAGTGAAGTCACGTGTAGTGACTCAATGATTACTCAGTGCTGGCCGCCCTCGGCGATAACTCTTTGGTGGGGGAGGGGGAATTAATGGACTTAAGCCGGATATCTATTCTCGAGAAGAAGACCACGGAATTGTAAGTGATTTCACGGGCTCGCATCTTCTAGCATGTACCGAGGATATATTTCTGACAAACTCTCGGCAGTTCTGTTCCGAAATCAATCGCCTGCGCCATGTCTTCCTCGTTGCTCGAAACCATAGACCTGGCTCATCTGCCACCTTCGATGCCGGTATATGTCGCACTCTACCGGGACGTCAAAAATGCTGCTTCTCTCCGACAACAGCTGATCTCAGGCAACGCGGACTTTGAGTATGCTTTTATTGATGCGAGCATGGTATGGATATCTGTTCAGTTCGACGCAGCCTCATATCTGTGTCTCTAATCGTGGACCGCAGGTTCTTTCCAGAGCTCATGCACTGTCCGCCGTCTTTCGAGCTGTAAATGACTCCATCAATGGACGTCTTAAGTCTCGCAACGTTCACTCAGAGATTGTCTTCTCATTCAGCCCAGCGAACAACGTGCGTTAGATGCGGAGTGTGACGAACAACGGCATCTTGGCTGACTTTCTGTAGATCGCTGAATCTTTCCGAAAATTTGGTATCGCGGACTCCACCAAAGACCTGCTAGTGATCAAGGTCTCGACAACGCCGGAAATTACACACGACTCAGTGGCAGCCCATCTCTCCCAGCACGTGGAAGGTTCGGTCGTGCCATTTGACGACGATACCCTGTCAAATATCGCCGATGTGACGAAGATCAAGAAGGCTTATAAGTTGGGCGCACTGAAAACTCCTCCTCCCACTCAACCGAACGGCACACACGATGATGGCACAAAGCAACTTGAACTTTCTGTCTTGGGAGCGATTGCGTTGCGCGGGGCCACTTGATTGGCAACCTAGCATTTGAGATACGTCTCTCGCCTATCATCAGTGATGAAAATCATCAGCCTTGTGGGGACAGCCATTCGCTGCTTCGCGCCTTTCGCGCTCCCAATTGCATGCCGAGTCTTCATGAAGCTTACCCAGCCAGGCTTGGCTTAGGGCTGAAGGCTTATTCCGAGAGATACTTCTTCCGTTCGCGGAGAAATCTCCAAGCGCAAATGTTGTAGTAAAGACGATAGAAGCTGACCTGGGATCTCTGTTTGGGAAATCCAACCGAAGGTTGTCCGGAGCCGCAGTACCATTTCCATACTTCCTGCAGGGCAAGGAACTGACATAGATACAACCATATATCCAGTCGAATATAACTGACAGACTAGCTGCAAACATATTGAACACCAGTCATCGTAGTCTCATGTACTCTGGCATGATGCCCGTTCAGTCGCGACGAATACAAATCACATGCACATGGTTGCCTAGCCCACCAATGTCGTCATCCCGAAACGGCAATCCTTCAACTTTGCCAAGACACATCACAGAGGTCTCGATCTCGCCGCACTATCTATCTGCAACTACTAGCTTTGATCTGTACCTTATCTGGCTCAGCCTTTTGATCACCACGACTAGCACTCATAAGCACGCTTGGAATTCTTTGGCTTGTTCTAACCTACCTCTGGATAGGTAGACGGGGTACAGCGTCATCTCGATGTCTCCGAATGACTGGATCTCTTGGGGCTTGCCACCATGACCGCCACCGCGGAGGTCATTATTCTGTCGTCCTCGCCAGAACACAATCCAGCGAGTACGCCTGCGCCACCTAAATTCGACGCTCAAAAGCTCTTCGGGCTTTCGCCTATCGATACTTCGACCCCTCAACTGCCTTCTCCGTCAGACCTTTTCCGGGATCAATCACGATCAAGGTTCTTCGACAGCGGGAAACAGCCCGACAAACGGACCCGCAAGCCCACGAAGACCACATGCAAGTCGACGGAGGCCGCAAAGTCGGATGCGACAGGAGTAGGGGTCAAAGGGGATCAAGTTGAGGACAAAGTGAAGAAGAGAGGGAGGCCAAAGAAGAAGGATAGCGCCGAAGCTTCAAATGACGGTCCGACCGAGACGATATCGACGAAAAAGCCGCCGGCTACGGAGAGGAAAACCAAGACTTCCGGAACCACGATAAAGCGCGACACAGCTGCGAACAAGACCATATCCGGGAGGGTTGGGAAGGCTAGTGCTTCGTCACAGTCAAGCAAAGGACAAATTGGCAAGAAGGCGGGACCCCCTTCAACCCCGCAGGTCTCTTCAAAGCAGGACTCTGCAATTGATGCGCAGGACTGGACAAAGGATGGCCTGCAGATTGAGCAAGCACTGAAGAGAAGATTGGATTGGACGCCCACTGAACTTACTGTGGGACAAACCAGCAAATTAGACAACAATTTGGCTCAGGACACAAATGAAACCAGAAGTTTTGGAACCATGTTATCTGAGTTTGGCTTTGGTGGTGTTCCTGCTTCCCGAGTCGAAAGTCAGGCATTGGAGGATACCGGCCCTACTAAGAGGAGGCGTATTGAAGTATGTGTTATCTGCTGCCTCTGAGTGACCCGTTTCTTTCTGCGCAATCACTAACGCCAGAAAAGTTGCTTAACTCTAGGATATGCTCCGGAAACAAGCCGAGCGACAATGATAGTAGCGATAAACATTCTACCGAAGGTGGAAGCTCAAATTTAAAAGCCTCGTCAGTCGCGAAGAAAAGCAAGAAGCCTACAAAAAAGTTCTCAACGCTTACGGCGCGAGTAACGGCTCAATATCTCACCGATTCTGCGCAGGCTATGGACGATTCGGAAATGAGCACTACGGCTAGTATTTCGTCGTCTCTTGCCTCCAGAAAACCGACAATAAAGAAGGGGAAGTCAAATGCTAAAGCACGAGAACCAGAGCTTGTCATTCTCTCGCCACAGGCGGCCGTCAGATCTCTTCATGATCAAGAGCTGGTATTTGGCACATGCAGTCAGTTGGAACGTGAAGACTCTCCTACTCTGATAAGAGAATTGCAGACAGCGATTCGGGAATCAGAGCAAAGCCTAGCACTGGAGACAAGCACTCGCATCAGCCATAGTGCAAGTAACGACCAATCACTAGCAGTTTCGCGCTTCACAGCCTCGAGGAATCTTTGGTCTGTTGCAGCCCGTGATACTGATGGGTCAGTATTGCCGGTAGAGGTTGTCGATCTAGTAGATGGATCGGATACGCCTAAGCCTCGTCCCACAATCAACAACGAAAACACTGCGGGAAAGGAGGAAGAGACTGCATCGGTAACGTCCAAGACAGGAACAATTCCGGATACACAGGAGTCTGGTGACGAATCTTCCAGCTCTAACACTGAGATCTCAAACACCCTTGACAACCAAACAAGTGTGACTACATCCCAACCATCAGCACCAAGGCCTGAGATGCCACACTTCAGCAGTTTCACAGATGCTCAGCTATGTAAACGAATTGCCTCCTATGGCTTCAAGCCTATAAGAAGTCGCCCGAAGATGATCGAGATCCTTACCAAATGCTGGGAATCTAAGAATGGTACAACTCACCCAAGTGTACCAGAAAACCCAGCTCCCCAACCGCCTACTGCATTAACGTTGGGAACAACCACCCACAAAGGCCCAACCAAAGGCACCACCAAGCCACGTAAAACTACAGCTACCAAGAAAACAAATACAAGATCTAAGCACAAAACCTCGTCAGAGCCATCAAACCCGGAAAGAACAACATCATCATCGTCATCAAAACCAGGAACTACGAAGAGCAAAAAAGCGCGAACCTCGCAAAACATCCACCAAACCACCAAGCCCACTCACAAAACTGCTACGAGCACCAGTACTATCCCAACATACTCCTTTGCCAACGTCGAAGAAATCCAAGACTCTGAAGACGACGAAAGCATCCCCTCCCCCAGCCGCCTACAAGCGCGATACCTCCACCACCATAACCCAACCACCCAACCGACAAGCCTACCAACCACAACGACAACCACGACAATCCTCTCACCAAGCCCAACACGTCGAAGAAGGCCAAATCCAACCAAAAATACCAAGGCTAGCGCAACAACAAGCACAGGTATAGAAACCCCCAACCTCCACGATCAAATCACGCAGGCCGTGCACCTCCAACCCCGCCTCCGACCCACCAGCGTGAGCAGACAACCCAGCTGGCACGAGAAGATCCTCATGTACGACCCGATCTTCCTGGAGGACTTTACGACCTGGCTGAACACGGAGGGACTAGGGCTCGTGGACGAGGATCGGGAGGTCGGCGCGGCGCTGGTGAAGGAGTGGTGCGAAGGGAGAGGGGTATGTTGCTGCTATCGGAAAAAGGGGCGGGAGGGTTGATGGGATACTTCGCTTGACAATTAAACCATTTTGGTTCTTGCGTACTGTGCTTTGAGTTATGTGTGTTTCAAGTTCTGTGCTGCATTTTCTGGAGTCTTAGACGAGGGGCGGGGGGAGGGGTGTTTTATGGCGTTACCTGGATGGATGAAGACCTGGTGTATAAATCTTGGTTATTTGGACATATACCCTCTATAGACACTTGGGATAGGTGATTTGAAATGGAGAATTGGGTTATATCCTCTGGACGGTGGTTTCTTTATACCGCTTTGTTGTTCCTTAGTGGCGATTGTTTAGTCTTTCTTCCTTCGAAAAACCAGATGTGTGCAACGTATACACTACACTGTTGTCCTACAAACCTTGCCAACCATATTTCTTACTGTTCCCTCTTACCACCCTCTCGAACCCACCCCATTCCACCACGCCCACAACCCCCTCTGCATTCCCGCAGCCGTCAAGCTCAGTTCCAGAGGGCGGCGGCGGAGATAGGCGTGAAGGCTGTCATGTCACCATGGCGGTCCCGGCGATGGTGGCCAGGCTGCCGGGGATTATTATAAGGATGTACGCGCCCGTTTTGGTGATGAGGCGTCCGGAGACCAGGGCGGAGAGGAATTGTCGATGTCACCGGGGGCAGGGTGTCGGTGCCGGATTGGAGAGACGTGGTGTGTGGTGCCTTGGAAGGATTGGAAGTAGATTGTCACCTGTTTGACAGCCAATGCTTGCTGGGCTCGCTCAAGCTTATGGCGAGGGGAGGCGGGTTGATGTGGCAAGTATAGTCCTAGACAAGCTCAGGGCAGGCCGGGCTCCGCTAGATAGATAGTTTTTGACTGGCTCGACATCCATGCATTGGGCCCCCTCCCCTGACGTCGCGTCAGCACCAAGAAATGCTTGATACGTGCTTATCCTGTCTCACGATATCTTGATTGGCACCCTCTAATCTACTACTGTTTCGACAGCAGAGTATAAAGTACATGATTCGCTAATGACTTGGATGGAGACTTACGCGAAAGTCAGTCCAGGCGAAAGCACGGATACTATACCCTTAATCGATCACAATCAAACTCCCTGAGAACAAGTCCATTTCGGACACCAGAGCTTGTGATAGCTATGGGCATATAAGCCTTCCATAGTTGATTGAAGAAATTATGCTCATTCTATGGGAACGACGCTGGTATCTTCAGGGTCCAAGGAGACAGTGGGCTTAGCCAAGGAGATAATAAGAAATGGTAGGAAGAGAGTGTAGGCCAAAAAAAAAGGAAAAGGAAGAAAAAAGGAAAGAAAAAGAAAATCTAAAATACAGAGAACGGAAACTGGCACCGTGTTCCTACATGCACAAAATACCACCGGCTCAACCTGGTATAACATCTCATGCTTCCATGTGCTCTGTGTCCAGCATAAAACTCCTTTCATGCCTGCGTTGCCGTCATAACCTGTAAATCATCCGCGAAACCCCATCCCACCCAAGTAAGGAATAATTCGCCAGAAGAGCCGACCTGAGTTGAATATACTTCACAAGTTATTGCGATGCAACAAAATCCATCACGACCACGAGTCGTGAGCTTGAAAGGCATGCGGAAAGAACCTAACCCGTGAGAATGGAAAGAAAGGCCACCCAAACGAGAGTATAGTATAATAAAAAAGGAGGCGGAGAGGGAGCCTATTTCCCCATAGAACAAGAAAAAGAAAATAGATGTAAGTGTCACACGTTGAATGAGGATATCGAATATAAGGCAAAAGATTGTCCGTTCCAGAAATCTAAGGAATATGGCTGCTTTTAAGACAGTCGATATTTGCCTAGTGAAGTCATTGTCTCGTGGCGGTAGATCACCTGCACCATGACTTGAAGCTGCGCAACCCACAGTCGCTCAGCGGAAAACTTTCCCATCTATAGCGACGGTTTCGAAGCTGATTCGTTTTGCGTATTTAGATTGCCCTCCAGCTTCAAGCCATGGCGTGAGATTCTTGCATTGGCTGACATCGAAAGACTCTAATTTGTCGCAACCCTCTGCCACAGCCTCAACACCAGCGCCAGTGACTCGAACACAGCCACGAACTGAAAGGCGTTTGAGATGCAAAAGATGGAGTCCAATGCTGCGCAGGGAAGGATCAGAGATCGCAGAACCGCAGAAAGACATATTAAGGTAGGTCAAATTGGAGCATTGTAGAGCGAGTACCTCTGTCGCAGTATCTGATAGTGCGCAGCAAAAAGACTTTCGCTGGTCAGCAAGCGCGTCTAATGGCAAGAAACTTAACAAGCACCAGCGTACTTACCAAATCCAGTTCCTGAAGTTGTTTGGCGGCATTAGTCAGGTAGACAATAGCATTGTCAGTCAAATATGTACAGTCTGCTAGACATAGCCTCCTCAGATTGGTAAATTGCGCGTTGCCCCAATACTGGAAACCTTGGTCTGTGATAGTCGTGCAGCGAGTGAGGTCCATCTCCTCGATTCTAGAGGCAGCATGCGATGCAATGTGATGCATTGAGCGGTCGGTGACATGTTTGCAGTAGGACAAGGTCAATTTCTTCAGTTCAGGACAGCCGTACACGGTACCGGCCGCAGTCTGCTTGGTAGGTTTCAAGGTTCCTTTGCCAGACTTCGTAGGGTCTTCACTGGGCTTATGGTGGCTAGGCACGACCCAACCTACAATCCGCGCCAACAGCGTGTCTCCAACCTTCCGACAGTTGCTTAGGTCAACCTCTTGTAACCCGGTTGCTTTGCTGGCCATGTCAAGGATGGCCGATCCCGTGACATCCCAGACACTCTTCATCTTCCAGGTAGTAACATTGAAACCACATACAGCAACCAGTTTGCTGAATCCCTCGTCTGTGATATGAAAACAATTACTAATGTTGATGTAGCGAGGTCTGTTGCCAACAAACGGGCAAATGATTTTCACGAGGACATCATCGGTAATACACCGATTATATACGCTTAAGTCGAGGCGATGGAGGAGTTCAGTGGATGTGCTTAGGAGCTCGGACCAGTGCATCGAGACAGCTCGGAGACGTAGAAGATCATGGAGCTCCATATGCCGAAAGACCTTGGTAAGTAGGTTGTCAGGAAGCGCGCCATGGTTATCCTGGCGGGGTACACGGGGGCTTTCCTGGGATGTGGAAAGTCTAGGGGTTCCTGGTAGGGTGAGAAAGGATGAGCTCGTGGACCGCGGCTCGGAAGAAGGAGTTGATGGCCGCTGCTGCTCTCCGGAAACTTCCTCCGGAGTTATTGGGGCAACAGACCCACGTCGACTTCGAAGGCGGACTTTATCCAAGCCAATGTTTAAGAACGGATCGGGATCCGATGGGCGTAAGAGAGCCTGCTCATCTACACCATTGGGTCTCGGTGTGCTGTCTAACTCCGTTTCAGTGAGAGTTAGGAGGGGCATGGACTGTCTCCGAGATGCCCTTAACTTGAAATTTTCATCGACATCCATGTGATTAGCGTAAGGCTCAACGCCCCCATCGTCTGCCATGACAACATCGCCATCAGAAGCGGATTGGAGCCGCTCCTTAGCGGTTTGTTCGACCTGCTGGCGGACCTTCTGAGGACATCTCTCCCAAAATTCAGCCAACACCTCTCCGCTTATCATCAAACACTCTACGGCACTGATAGACCGCACAGTAGCGGTTCTTCGAGGTGCTAGCGACAGACTTACTACCTCCCCAAAATACTGACCTTGTTTCAGCCGTGCTTTCACTTCGAAACCTGGATGTTCAATGGTCTTGGGCAGGGACTGCGTATGCTGTGCGTCCGCTCGCTCCGATAGAACCTCCACTTCGCCGCGGACAATGAAGTATATCTCGCGTCCTTGGGAGTCTTGTTTGATGATATCGGTGAAAGGGGGGTAGGATCGAGGTTGCGCATTGAGTCCCAAAAAGTGGAGGATATCTGGCGGCAAGCCGGCAAACAATGGTAATTCCTTGAGCAGAAGGCGGACATTGACTAGTCCATTCGCCAGTGCACTGGAGGATCCGTCAGCCAAGCCAGGGCTGGGAGATTTCCGTTTTTTGTTGACGGACGTCAAAGACCTGCCGTCCTGCTCGCTGAGATTGAGGTCTCCAGAAAATGTGTCCCTCACTCTCTTCGAGCCTCTTCTAGCCGGGCTCCCAGGCTCGACCACCGGTACAGATGTTTCCTTCTTCTTTTTCTCCAGAATCATCAATCTTTCCTGCGCCTCGTCTCGAATCGCCCGCTCCACGTCAGGAAAGCGGGGGAGGATTTGGGTGAAATCCTCCTTGGTCAAAACGACCAGCAAGCATCTGGTGCGGGCGACAATGGTTGCTGTCCGTGGGCGGTCCATCAGTACGCCGATCTCGCCAAAGAACGAACCTGCTTCGAGATCTGCATACACACTCTCGCCATCGCGAGAAGTCACCGAGACTGCACCCCGGACCAACCAGTAGATCGCCTTGGATTCGTCACCCTCCGTCAGGATATAGTCATTGGCTTGTTGGAGCTGGGGGCGAAGATGCTGGCCGACATCGATCAGGAATGACTCTGGAGTGGATTGGAAAAGAGGGAAGGAGCGCAATCGGTCGACGAGGTCTAGCGGCAAAGCGCGGATGCTCGACGAGGTCAACGGTGACGGCCGGACAGGACGATTAGGATTGGTCACCGAGTCGAACGAATGTAGCAGGGATGCGGTTTCGGAGATAGGCGTGACGGCCTTGGTCGAGCCTCCGCTGGCCCTGCCATGGCGGCGCATTGTGGGATGTGGATTGGAGAAGGTCCGGGCAGCGTGGAAAGGATACAAAGGAGGTTGGAAGGAAGTTTCGATGGGGGAGCATATAGTTCGACCGGGAAAGCGATCAATGGACCGATGACGTCGACGAAAAGGGAATCACGGGGGGAGCTTTTTTTCAGACAGACATCTTTCGGGAACCACGGTGCGGGGGAGGACAAAAGAGTCGGGCCCAGGACGATCGACTTAAGGTCGCGGTGGGACGGAAAGCGACAATTCGGATTGAAAGGAGAACAGGTTTGGCGAGTAAAAAATGATCGTGTAACAAGCAATAATGGGAAATAGTCCTGACGAAGGACTAAAGACCATTATGAGAGAGGGAGAAGGGGAGGAGGGGAGGAGGAGGGGAGGAGGGGAGAATAGAGATGGGTTTGAAGAAGCTGGGTTAATAATAATTATTAGTTGAGCCGGCGGGCCAGAAGGAGCAGCAAGAGCAACAGCAGCTCACAGTAGTTAGCTCTAGCAAGAGGAGCAGCAGCAGCAGCAGCAGCAGCAAGCAGTAGGAGCAGTTACCGTAGTCTCACACTAACTAATAAGCAGAGAGCTTAGAGAGGTTAGTCCAACAAGCAGCAGCACCATGAAAGCGGGGATCACCAACGTCAAATTCTTTGGTTGAGGCTCCACCGCCGCCGCAAATGGTCAGTGAGTCTACCGGCAGTCTAGTGTAACTAAGACTCAAGTCTCTTTCTTTTCATCCTTTGACTCTCTCCGCCGCTTTGGGTTCCACCCTGTCGGTGCAGAAGTTGAGGTCCTATACAGGTATTCAACCAACTGGCCCGGTAGTTAGTTAACCCTGAGTGACTTTCATATAGAGTAAGTAGGTAGTGCGGAAATCATGCCCGTTCTTCGTGGTGAAACATGTGGCCTTTCTTTCTGGAACACCCGGGACTTTTTCACCCACTGCCGCTGACGGAATAGCGTTTATCAATGAATCAATGAATCAATCAATTGACGAATTGGAGGTGATCACCCTTTGCTTTTTCTTTTTTCTTCCTCCCGCCCTTCCCTTCCATCTTCCCATCCTGTTTGATTCTCGATCTGACATTCACAGTTCCCTAGAGCCTGTAAACCTGAAAATATCCTATCCTGCAAGTAGATCTAACTCATTTGATTATCAACGGCCACCTGCATGTTGCGATGAACCAAAGAGGCCCTCTTACAGACGACAGAACTGTTTGACCTGTTTGTGCACCATTTCTGTCACGGATCGGACACCGCTCTGACAAACAACTCAGCTTTGATCCCATTTTGTGTACTGTACTGTAAGAGAGAGCAATGAGCAATGAGCAATGAGCATCGGAGGGGGCGGGATTTAATGCAGAGGTAGTAGAAGTCGCATTCATAGAGCCTGGTTTGCTTGTGATTGGATCATTGCCATCCGCCAGTCTCATGCATTCTCCGTAGCCATTGTTGGACTGAGATGCCACCTGACAGCCTAATCAATCCCCTGCAGCGGGAATTATGCACCACCCCAGTCTGTTCACCTTCTGGCTCTCAGGTCTGATTCTTCCCCACAAATCGATGCAGACTCACTCGAGTTCAGACCCCTTAAGAACTGTAGATCCTCATGTGCTAGCAAAGCAGCGAGATCCCCCTTGCCGAAGTGACTAGGCAAGCCATGTGCACAGGGTCTTTGGGGAGAGGTCCGAGGATTTCACAGATGCTGACCCTTCTGGCTGCTTCAAGACCAAAAGATCAAGAGGACCAATGAATGGGAAGCACACCCAGAAGGTCCAGAAATGCGTATGTGGAGCTTCCGGTTGTATTCCCTAGTGTCTACAGAATGAAGTAGTGAAGATCAGAGCTCCGTCATCCACAGAACGAAATGACACTTTCGCCTATGGAAAAGCAATAGGCCAACGTGCTCATTCTCATACGTATAGATTACATGAAAAACAAGATGAGTGGTTTGCACTGGTATTCGGCTGATTTCAAGACAAATTCATACATGACCTACCACCTGCTCCGGGACTACCTCGCCATAGCTTGTAGTTGATGAAGGTATGCCATGGTATGAGAGCCTGAAAGGCTAGGTGACAATTCTGCCATCCGTTTGTGTCAGCAAGGTCGCTGCATGGGCTCTCATTGCGTCGGAAATTGATTGATATGCCCCTGCAGATGACCTTGACTAGGAACAACGCTGGTCCTTGATTTCGACCTTATCATCAATTTCGTCATGAATAGTCAAGAGCGGTCGCAAACTCCCGAGCAATAGACTGAATTCCGAGATTGTGCGACAAACGCAGTATAAAACCGTCCTGTCAGAGTCGACAGCTCCACCACTGCTTCGTTAACTATGCATAGTCGTAGGGAAGCAGCGTAGTGAGATTCGGAGCATACTGCGCTTGCTGTGCGGGGACAAGGCGATATATTTGAATTTGTATCCAACAATTGAAACCTTTGGCTCTAATGCTGAGCCCCAATAATGAAAGGATTGGCTATGTGTTCCTTGATGTCATCACTCGGCCTGTGGTAAGATCGGGCCCATAATGAAATGGACATAATGAGGTGGGAAGCCCCTGTAGTATGCGAGGGCATCCTGAAGCAGTCCATACGTCAGACTCGCTTTTAGACTGATTTTAGCGGTGCGGGCTGCAGTGAACATATCGTGCCGAGCTAGAAAGGAGGAAGTAATTAGCCTTTGAACCCAGGAAGCCTGAAGAGCTAGGATGACGAACCCCACAGGCTGTGAATGCCTGACAATGACAACCCCGCCACGACTGTTGACACAAAGTCCTGCTGATCGTGTCGGGCTTGGTCCACTGTCCACTCGAGGAGGCTAAAGATTGAGGCGCCGACAGCCAACTTGCTTCCCATTCTGAATCCTTCTTTGGTACCTGCGACAATACCGTAATATCTCCGTGTCTTTGAGTAATGCCACCACTCCAGTGAAGACTTAGGCTGTCGATGGGCGTTCTCCGCGCGGAAACGATAGGCCGACATTCTGTTGCCACTGGAGAAACCAAGAAAGAGACCTGTACCGAAAGCCGTCGCTCCTGTTAAGAGCGTGCGCCTTGCGCTAGGTATCCCTAGTCTCGGATTTGGGTCGAGCGATGCGATTCGCTTCCGCAGGACCTCGGTCGCGTCTCGTGGTTGCTGAACATCCATGCTGAAATAGCGGTTAAAGATAACCCTCTAATTTGGACTATGCTGAGCAGAGCTCAAAAGAATTATATAACCTTGTTCGATGCTCTGACTTCGAGGGGCGATCGGTGGGGAAGGTATTTTGCTTTCTTGGAGAGAGAAATTGGTGTGAGGTGAATGAAATCCAAGTGTCGAGTCCGGACTCGACTTTTGGCGGCTCGCCGAGCCTCGATCTCCTCCAAAGGCACCGCGGACCCGCCAAAGCTCAATCAGAGTCCCGGCCACCCAACTCCAGAATCTCTAAGACGAACGCCATGGTAAGAGCCTCATACTTGCTCTTCTTCTTCGACAAGCGTACTATGCTAATACTTATAATAAAATGTATGAATAGTCTCAACCCGATCCGCTCAGCTGGACTCTGTTGTTCAAGAAGCACAGAACGACCGTGCTTCTGATGCTCCCTCCATCCGAAACGGTCGCCGCCGCCAAAAATGCACTACTCCGATCCCTTCAAGCTCGCGGCCTGACCGATATCAACGGGGATGTCATTCCAGTAAACGCTTCTGACATTGAACTTGGGATTCCGGTAGACAGGAATGATCTGGAGAAGGGCTGGACAAGACTTGAGGCTGATGACCCCGACTTCAATGTCGCTGATGCGCCCAAACGAGGAGCCGGAAAGAAGGCAGCCGGCTCGCTCACCCTGTTAGCTGCCGATCTCAAGAATGGTCAATCGATCGCCTTCAGGTTTCAGAAGAGTACAGGAGAGGAGTCTGAGAAGAACGAAGAGTTGGCAGATCAAGACTTAGAAGATCCAGGCTGGGATGTTGTCCTCCCAGCCTTTGAAGACGAAGAAGAGGATCAAAATTAATTGCCATGTCTGATTGACGTTGGTTGCATATGGAAACCCAAGTATATTGCACGCTTCCTCACACCGGATAAGCCAGTCATGCTCAAGTCAGATGACGGACAGTCCAGAGATCTCAGTTATATTGCGATCTTAGGCCAGGGTTGTTACCAAGTCTTAAACAACAAGCCTATCTAGATCGCGTAGCCCATCTCGTTGGAGAGCAGACGGCTTTAGTGAGTTTTCGCGGACATTGCTTCAGTATGATTCCTGATACTTGTGCATCGTTTTGCTATTGAGTTCATTTTCTGATCGGGTACGTCATAGATCCTTTTTATCTGACTAGGGTATAATTATCTGTTGTAGGCAATGGGTTCCGTGGTAGTACAAGTCCCATTCATTGCATTCCTGCATCTTGCTGATAGGCTTACATCATGATATGAGGCATCAGATTAGTGGGAAAACGCTACCAGACTAAGATCAGAACCAATGGACTATATCAGACAAGCATTTGACATGATAGCTTAAAATGATCACGTAGATAGCCGATTCTACTTATTTGCAATGAGGGTGGGGAACATCAATCAAGGGTGCGTGGTAATAGATAAATGCCGGGCGTGCTCTTTTGGACGCGACCGGCAAGGGTGCCTTAGGCGGCTGGAAGAAACCCGGAAAGAGCACGGCAAACTTACTTTAACCACACATCCTACGGTTGCTCGGAGCAACAGGGCGGTGGAAAACACGCCAAATGTCAACAGCTTGACTGGAGATCGAACTAGTCTCAGCGTCACTCAACAGGGGAGACTCATTGGGGCTGTCTGATTTAATAGGTCCACAGTCAACATTCCTCTCTCCCACATTTCGTCGATCCAGTTTATCCAGTTCTTCGTTTCTCTCAATTGTTCTTTCTTCGTTCGCTTTGTTGACGGTACAGGGCGTCGCTCCCCTCGATAGCCGACCTTCGCGTTGAATTGCCTAGAGGGACGTGACGCCTCCGCGGTGATAATTGATCGCCTTTTTGCAAGATGGCCGACGCCTCTTCCATTACTGTCGCGGTCAGAGTAAGACCGTTTACAATTCGAGAGGCAGCACAACTCTCAAAATGTGAAGATGGTCCATTATTCCTTGGTGACGGGTCACTGGCGGCAGCGCCGACACCCAAGCTTAATCAAAAGGGTCTTCGCTCTATCATCAAAGTCATTGATGACCGATGTCTGTAAGTTGCACAGCATATCATGCGTGGACCATGTGCATGATCTGACCGAGCTCCTGTCGACTAGTGTTTTCGATCCCCCTGAGGACAACCCTGTCCAGAAATTCTCGAAGAGTGTCGTACCAAATGGCAAACGCGTCAAGGACCAGACGTTTGCTTTCGATCGGATCTTCGACCAGAATGCCTCACAAGGCGAGGTCTACGAGTCAACAACTCGAGGCCTTCTCGACAGTGTTCTAGATGGGTACAATGCTACGGTGTTCGCTTACGGTGCAACGGGTTGTGGAAAGACTCATACAATTACTGGAACCGCCCAACAACCCGGAATCATCTTTATGACGATGCAAGAGCTTTTTGAGCGTATTGACGAACGATCCGATGAGAAGGCGACCGAAATCTCGCTCTCCTACCTGGAAATTTACAACGAAACGATTCGTGACTTGCTTGTGCCGGGAGGTAGCAAAGGAGGTCTGATGCTCAGGGAGGATTCCAACCACTCAGTCTCGGTGGCTGGCTTGTCAAGCCATCATCCGCAGAATGTCCAGCAAGTGATGGACATGATCATGAGGGGCAATGAATGCCGCACAATGTCGCCAACGGAGGCCAATGCTACTTCTTCGCGGTCGCATGCGGTTCTCCAGATCAATATCGCGCAGAAGGACCGGAATGCGGATGTGAATGAGCCCCACACGATGGCAACATTGAGCATAATCGACCTTGCAGGAAGCGAGCGCGCCAGCGCTACGAAAAACCGAGGCGAACGACTGTTTGAGGGTGCCAACATCAACAAATCCCTTCTAGCCCTCGGAAGCTGTATCAACGCGCTCTGCGACCCCCGAAAGCGAAACCATATCCCTTATCGGAACTCGAAACTTACTCGGCTATTGAAATTCGCGCTGGGCGGCAATTGCAAGACCGTCATGATTGTCTGCGTCAGCCCATCGAGCCAGCATTTTGATGAGACACAGAATACATTGCGCTACGCCAACAGGGCAAAGAACATTCAAACGAAAGTCACGCGGAATGTTTTCAATGTTAACCGCCACGTTAAGGACTTCCTGGTGAAGATCGACGAACAGATGGCTTTGATCAATGAATTGAAGGCTCAACAGAAGAATTATGAAAAGCTTGCGTTTGCCAAATTCAAGAAGCAGGCCGAAAAGAAGGACGCCGTCATGCGGGAGGGAGTGGCTCGTATCCGCAACGCTTACGAACACTCGTTGCCAGAAAGGCAAGAAAGGACCAACAACATGATCAAGTTGAGACAGATTGGCCGCCGGATCGGACTGCTGTCATCTTGGATCGCTGCGTTCGATCACGTCTGCGCATCTTCGGAGGTTGAACATCCATTATCCAATCTCATAGTTATCCGCAAAACAGCGCAAGGAATCCTTCTCGAACTGGAGAGTAGCAGGCAACACTATCATCAGCGGTTAGCGAAGTCCACTTGGGACCGTGGTTTGGTCAGCGCTGTCGAGCATGCCATCCGTCAGCTGCAGGAGTTCAATTTCAATGACAGTAGCGATATTGACAACATCCATCGCGAAGCAGAGTTTCTGAGAGCGAATACAGAGCGCGAGGCCCTATCAGCGGTTGCTGAGCAGGACAAAGCTGGAGACGCAGCCACCGTGCAAGTGCTCCTTCAAGCGCAATTCGAGATGATCTCCGAGATCAACAATATCATGGAGATGAGTGAAGATGATGCTATTGAGACAGGCAGAAAGATTCTTGCTAAGATGCTCAGTTCCTGCTCCACTGTGACATCTAGCCTAGTTAAGCCTGACGGTAGTGTTCCGTCTCTTCTACCAGCCAGTCCCATCAAGATTATGAGCTCTCCTAAGCAGAAGAAGAGGGTTAGTCTGGCCGCCGCCGCGCCCATCGCTCGAGTCACACATGCACCTGTGATCTTGACTCCAGCAGCCCCACCTTCCCCTACCAAGGGATCACCCCGACGTCGCAAGCTGAATGTTGGAAGGAAGAGCGTCAGCTTTTCGCCCAAAAAGGCCCCGCCAAAGCCGACCAAGAGAAGTGTGCGGTGGAGGGATGACGAGGAAGATGGTGCTTTAACGGAGGTCCAGAAGACCCCTCAGAAACCCGGTCTGGCCACGGTACCAGAAAGCAGCCCCAGCGACCCTCCATTGCCTCGAGCATCTCCTATCCCACGTGGAATCCCCGTACCTACTCGCAATTTCAGTCCGTCCAGCGGATCGTCTCCTATTTCAGCCGTACCAGAGCCCACGTTGAACATCCAGAAGAACAATAACAGATTCAAGACTGGGTTTCTGTCGAAAAAGAACGGTAGCTCGCCAATGGGACCCCCTCCTACATCCACGCTTCCATTGTCCGACAATGAGAACTCACCTCTCCGCGACATTGACAACAGTAGCTTCCTGAACCGTTCGTCAGTCGAGCGCCCCTCGAGAATTGCGGTCCGAACGCCGAGCGGAAGCTATACCAGCAGCCCTGCCTCAGAAACCAAAACCGCAACAAGCTGGAAGGCAAGCAAAGATGACGCGATTAAGATTACGTCTGCAATGAGGCGCATCTCGGGAGGCTCATTCGGCATTGGGCCCTCAGCCAACGCACTCCGTGTTCATCGTCGACGAAGTCCAACAGCCGTCGCTTATGGCAGTTCCCCGACGGAGAGTACCATGTTCACCGCATCGCAGGCGAGACGCATGGTCAAGAGTGAGAAGGAGGAGACCAAACCTCGTGTGCTGAGTCCCCGCGCTCTCCCGATCATGAAAAATACACAAAGGCGAAGCACGTTGGGGGGAGATATCCGCCCACGTGATATCAGTCTTACGAGTCGCGATGCCATTCGCCTCAGCATGGTGGCGGCCCCTACCCTGGAGAGACCTCCAGAGAACCTCTATCCCAGCAATGGATTTGGCATGAGGTAGATTTGAAATTGTTTAGTATCATTGCATTGGTGATATGGGTTGCTGGTACGGTGTTTCGGAACAGATACCATTTGCTTTCTTCTATCTTGAAATTGAGACCGCACGATCTGGGATCCGGTTTGAACAATATACTATACGTCTTTCAGCTGGATGAGTTTGAGTTTCATCCTGGGCTTGGAAAGACATTTTATTTTCACCTCTTATTTCACTGTTGATGGTTTATGCTTCTTTCATTTTTCCTTGAGTAGCATACACTTTTGCTCGGGATTTGTACTGTACAATAACAGCTTGCTGAAAGGCTCCGGTGGCTATTTTTGCCTCTGCACGGGGTTATGAATTAAGCGCCCCCTACTACTCATGATGATAATGATAACTTCTAAGAAGCACACATTGTATAGACAGATGAGAGCTGAGTAAGTAGTTGTAGTTAAGTGACTAGGTGCCAGTGGCCACCAATCTTATGTCATGCGCGGAATGACGCCACCAGAGCTGGGGTATGACAAATTCATGATGGCGAGCTTCCGAGACCAGAGGCACTTATTTATCTTTGTACAGGTACAGGTACAGCTCGCTTTGAACTCCTCTACAGCTACAATTGTGCTCAGAGTCCTGTACTTATCTGCCTACCCTTCTTAATCGACAGGAACCGGAAGTCGGATCTGCAGAAGGGATTTGTCAAGCGCCCCTCTCCGGCGGAAACCAAAGCTTCAGGTGGAGCAAGAAGCGCGATCGCATAAATAATCATTGATGGCCTTCGCTGCGCCCGCTTTTGGCTCGACTTTTCTCTCTCGGATTACCCGTCAGTTCTCGACCAGTTCGCCGTTCCTTGCGTTGACCACGCCTTCCACCTCGCGCACCATGTCGACCAACACGCAGACCGCCACGGTAGCTGCCGGATGTTTCTGGGGTGTGGAGCACCTCTTCCGCAAACACTTCGGCAATGGAAAAGGTCTTCTGGAGGCCAAGGTCGGCTACTCAGGCGGACACAGCGCGTCCCCTTCCTACCGTGCTGTGTGCACTGGTGAGACTGGTCGTAAGTGGTTCCGTGAAGGGGAGGGAAAAGCTTGTCGAGCCGCAATCGAACTGACAGTTTCTGGTCGCTTGCAGATGCCGAGGCCCTGCAGATGACGTTCGACCCCTCTGTGGTCAGCTACCGCTCCCTTCTAGAATTCTTCTACCGCATGCACGACCCCACCACTCTGAACCGTCAGGGCGGCGATATTGGCACCCAGTACCGCAGTGTGATCTTCACGCATGGCGAGGAACAGGATAAGATCGCCCGCGAGATCACGGAGAAGGTCTCCCAGGAATGGTACAAGCAGCCGGTGTCGACCGCAATCGTGGCCGCGGGCCAGTGGTGGGACGCCGAGGAGTACCACCAGCTGTATCTGAACAAGAACCCTGATGGTTACGAGTGCCCTGCTCAGTATGTGCAACGCCTTTCCTTGTGTCGATGCGAATGTCTTTGCTAATCGGTCCTCTTCTTTCTACCAGCTTCGTGAGGTCGTTCCCTCCGCTTTCTGCTTGAATCGCGTGTAAGCTTTGAGAAATGAGATATGTTATCATGCCGGTTGTATGAAATAAGGATTGTTAGATCAGTGTACTCAATTGGAAAGGGTTCTGTTGTCAGTCTGTGTTTCTTGGAGATGAGGAGATTCGCACCTAGTTGTTGTGTGTGTTTAGCCTTTGCTAAGAATATTGATGGCCCCGTCAAGTAGGACTGGCTGCATGCTCGGCTCCTAAGCTGTCAAATGCTGCCCGGGCTTATGATGTACGTCAAGCTTGCTAGCAGAGGCTTTCGTCTAGTCTGTTTGTTCGTCGGGAATGGTAAGTGCCAGGGGATTGAAGTTCCCTTAAGTTTCCCAGCATGTCTCAAATAGGCAATATCCCATCCAAGAGAAGTGACTCGGGCTGTTTACACACTACTTTTCTCAAAGGAGAGTCTTGGTTTGAGATATCGTTCTGCATTACTTCTACATCTGCACTCGTGTTGAGTGTCTCTTTCAACCAGGTCTATCTTTCCACTCTTGATCTGGGCCTGAACAAGAATGTTATGACAGAGTGACTGACACTAGGTTGCTCTTGAACGGAGATTTCATACTTCCAGAAGCCAAAGTGATCCAAATCTACTCCGCTAAACTCGAGAGGCTCCGTTGTGAATGTCCGCCGAGTTCCGCGCTGTCGAAGTCTGTAAAGGCGACTTTACTGTTTTTTACTCTACTCTCATTCACTGTGTGTGTGTTCTGCCACCATAGTAACATCCTCATTTTCCTCGAAAGCCTCCCACCTCTTCGCTCCATTTCCCCCTCTTCCTCTGCCTACTTATACCTTCTTTCTTCCTCTCTTCCTCTTTTCCTCTCTCCCTCTCTTCTTTCTTTCCTCATCACCTTCTCATCTCTTCCCCCATCCTCTTCCCCAACCTCACCCTTCTTCTTCTCTTGTTCGATACCTTCTTCATCTCTACCATCCCCAGTTCCCTCATTGTCATCAGTGACTTGTTCGCTTTCTGTTTGTTATTCTTCCTGATAAAGTACACCTGCCTGGACTGTCAGTTTCCCCTCGACGGCAGCCAGTGTACATCTCACCAGTCCCCAGACACCTACCTTCCTGTCAAGATTTCTTTTGTGGGTGCCCAGGAGACTCTCTAATCTGGAGCTTGCATTGGAGCCCCAGTTCACCGTTGTCTTTGGATCATCGGCTTCTTATCTCTATACGTCGACGTTTTCGTCGTTCTGACTACCCTCGGAAAATACTCCAGTATTGCTTATCTGAGGGTTGAACAATCTGAGACTTCTTGAGTAGAGTCTCAAGCCGATTCCTGAAGGTATGTTTCATCATATTCGCGTGAGCGAGGCTCTCTGCTGTCGATCTGGACTAACACGCGCGTTCTCCTCACACATGTTAGGTCACTTACCTTACCCATATACTCCAGGCCACCGCGTCTGTTCCGGTTCTCGGCGTCAAGACGGGCGGTTGCTCTTGTAGTCAATATGTCTGTCAACTCAGTCGATGCTGCGATGGCTGAGGCCCTCAGATACCTGACTCAGATTACTTCTTATGTGGGTGCTTCTATGTTGCAATACTCGTGGGTGGATTTGAATCACTAACTGGGCTAGTTTCGTGACCGCCAAAACAATATTGATGTTGCCAATGAGATCGGAAAGCTTAGTGCTTCGATCGTCACTCAAGTCCTCATTGGCGTGTCTAATATTCCGGTCTCGGACTATCTACTCGCACCACAGGTAAGAAGGCTTATCATCGATGAAACCACAGCTGCAGAAACGCTAATTTCCTACAGCCCAGTGACAGTAGTCAGAACTCCATTGAAGGATACGCTGTTAACAATCAGGTTCAGCGCACCTTGGGCCCCGCTTTCTTTGGCGAGGACCAGCAGGAGAACCAGCGCAGCCTTGTGTTGCAGCAGGCACCTATTCATGACAATCAAGTCCATTCAAGTGGAAGCTGGGCTCGAGTCGTTGGCACAGTCCCCGAGGGACCCGCTCACGCTCAGGAGCTAGTGCAGTATCTGTTACCTGCCTCCTTGACCTCGAGCACACTTTCCCAAAGCCAGAACAGTGAGGAGGAGGCAGGATGCCCAGAGCTGACAGCCGTGGGACTCATGCTCACCTCGTCCATTGTGCCAAACCAGACTGAGGCCAAAGCGGGCGTCATCCGCATCTATGGCAAAGCCTCCAGAGAACATACCCAGTATATTACTACTCGCATCCACGAGGGTGCGCTGCAGGAAATCCGCGTCGAGGCCGATGACAGAACCCGTGTGACTTTTCAGCTGGCGACCTCGGCGCTCGAGTTTCTCAGGTCCAACCGTCAGATGGAAAGTGTTATGGGATATGGTCGTTTCGGTGCCGGCTATCGTGTTGAATTGGCTGAGATCGTGGACTGGAACGAAGACCTACGTCGCATGAACCAGCCTATTCGTGAGCGTCGCCGCCTCTCTTTCGCCAGAAAGAGACTTTTTGCTGAGGGCATGACCCCTGATAAGTGGAAGCATGACATCCGCCAGCTGGCGGGTCCTGGCGCTACCGACTTCCTTTGGGTTTTCAATTCTGGTAACGGTAAGAGAGCAAGCACTATACGTTGTTGTTCGCTTGATGGCCTGAATCGCTGATTGTCTTCTAGCGACCGCTGTTTTCAACAGCACCACTATTGCCCGTCGTGTGCTTGAGACGTTCGAAACTTGGAAAATCGGCCGCAACGTCTACAATGGTGTCTCAGTGACCTACTCCTCGGACCCCTGCGAGAAGGAACTCGCGTTAGTTCGCGAGAGCCGTCCCAACATGGGCCGAGGCTACGTGAAGCGGGTCATCCGCTAAGTGTAATTGTCCTTTGTCGGGGATAACTAAGCCCTCGAAGGTGACGATTGAACCTGGAGGTCAACCAACAATATCTGATTAACCTGGATTTACAACATGCAAGTGGTGCGAGAAGGTCAGGAGAGGGCGAGGAAGGATACAGAAACAGTGATGAACTGAAAAAGTGGGGAAAAAAAGAAAAACGGCAAACCAGAACAAGGGTCTAAACCGTTCGCTAGTTGGAAGTCCTGTACGGAATGTTTGTCCGGATGCTGGAACAACGTGGCCGCCTGGTGCGCACGAACGATCCGGCCCGGGCTACAATCCCAGGATGCCGACAGGCGCACGAGCGGTAGTGAGTTATTCCTTTTCCTTGCAGGGGTATTCAAGCCCCGCGTGTTGGGACCCTCGTTCCTGGACTTGTTGTATTGCTCATGCTACATTGTCTTTTTACTTACATTTACATCTACCATGGTAATAAACCTTTCACGGATGTTGTTACTCCAAGGTGCGGAATAACGTAGCAAAATTTGGATCCAGTAGTACTTGTACTGAGTAGCAAGCACTCTGTCGATATCGCTGCTTGCCTGAGTGGCGAGAACGAAGTTTGGAGGAGTCAATCGAGTCATCCTGTGATTGAGCAGACTCACGACGAGTCTATCCCTGACTTTACCCGTAGACCCCGGTCATCAAGTCCAAGCGAAGCGAAGATCCTGCCGACCATGGGAGAATACGATAGCCACTTCCCAAAAAGACCCCTGATCTCAACCGCTACGCTGATCAGTTCCGTTGACGCTCTGCCCTAGACCACCTACGGATCTAACCTCTCTTTTCAACTGCCAGTTTGATATAGCGTGCAGTGAAGATCAACGGTACTTGCACATGCAGTAGTAGGCCTGGTTGGCTTCTGGTTGCTGTTTGGGGGAGTAGGAAATATGGGACCTTTGGAAAGCACGGATCGACATTACTCGACGACTCACTGGGACAACACCGCTCCTCCTCTCCCCTTTTGTGTAAGTATTCATACAGGAAGATCTCCTTGCTTCATGCCTATCGAGATGAGTTTCAGAGCGGTGGGTGGGTAACTGTCCAGCTTCGTATGCTTGGCCGGGGGCTGAGCTATCGCTTGGATGCTGAGGTAGAGGTAGTTTACTCGTAGGTAGGTTTCGAGGGAGGGATCGTGTTCTTGACATTAGGAGAGGGAATCTTACGTTCTGCTCTGCTTTTCCGGGGATAGTCTGTGTACTCCAAGGCTCTAACAGCACGATGGATCTTCGGGGTCGTTGAAATCCCTTTCTGAGATATTCAGGTCACTTGCTTTTTTCTAGGTAGAGATTCAAAGGAAGTCAGTTCGGACGACTCATCCTGACAAGACTTCTTTTACTGCACTGTAGCTATCTCAGCACCATGATCAAGATGACTCGTTTATATTCCCTGCTCTTCTGTTCTGTCCCTCGCCCGCCGCCCCTGAACTAATCAACTGGGGTTAGGTCTACGGTACCAGTAGTTCAAGCTGAGCTGAGATTTATTTTTTCTATGCAATGCCAAGGGCTTAAGACTCAAAGAAAGAGTCATGAGTACAGTATAGCGACCCTGCCCGCCCCACTGGATAGAATAGTCTTTTCAACCCCTGCATATCGGCGCACGCAATCTGCAAAACAAAATAAAAGGGGGGGGGGTCACGGGTTCCGGGCCTATTATTGGCGGAGTTTGGGGTTCATTGATTTGGGGGGTTCGAACGAATAAGGTTCAGTAGACTTTTGTGCGCTGTGCTTTCTTGGGGGTTGTCGTTCCGTGCGGGCGTGCGTTGAATGGAACTGGGTCAATCTTTATCTCTTATTTACCTTTACTGTACGTTGTTGGAGAGGGTGTTAACTCGTCGGATTTGTGGATTGGATTCTTATCGAGAAGTTATGGGTTCTACTTCTGATAGTCCATAACCTACACTGTAGTACTTTTTGCGGTCGGGATTTTCTTTGGGGTTTGATGGTTGGGCCAATTGATTGGCGATTAATTGCTTGGGCTTGGGGTAGGTTTCGGATAGATGAGTCGAATAATGAACGGCGGGGACCTGGAAGCAAAGCCGTTGGAATATGGAACATCGAACATGGAACATGCGATTGCTGGGGTCGGGTGGGTGGCATGTTGCTTGGGTACGGAGTACCGACTACACTACCCCCCAGCCAGGGCTTCCCTTTCATGCATGATTGATATCGATGGGAATGTCCCTCTCTCTTGTCTATCCTTTGTACTGTAAGTCTCAGTCGAGGACACATTCCATGGCTGACGGGGCGACGGACGAAGATCCTAAAAATAATCCTAGACTCGAAGAGGCCAAGAACCGTGGAAAAGGCCGGAAGAAGTCACTTTTTCAAACTAGTCAACTTCGAGTAAATAATCTGGTCGGCTTTCTACCCATGGTCAAGACTCAGGAGATTTCGACACGAAATAATCAGAAACCGCTTTTGTGGGATTGTTGACTTAGAGTCATTACTGGCCTTGAGTCGTGGAGGATTCGACGTTGATTACTCTACGAGTACTACTTACTGCCCGTGAGAATCACAACACATCTTCTTGCCCCTTACGAGAGATAAGGAACGGGCGGAGCAAGCGGCAAGGCAAGGTCGTCGATCGGGGGCAAGGGACCCGACCTCACTGAGGTAATCGGAATGTGCGCGTGGACAGACAGCAGTGAGGGTTTAACACACCGTGGGCGTCAACTTCACCACGAATCCGGTCATCTCTTTCCGAGAGGAGGCGTCGACACGGCCCGACGCCATCGAGATCTAGAACTGAGTGGAATATTATCCTGTCACTGCTCTCACGGGCGTGAAGTCAGGTAGCTTCGCATCTGGCCGTTCACGACCAAGCCAGCTTCCCGAATGTGTCGGCGAATCGCTTATCTGTCACAGCTCCGGGCGGATGTCAGGTGAGAATGTGGAACGAGTGTGTCCGAGAGCAGGGCTCAGCGCATGGGGAGTCGGGGACTGGGTAATAAACTCAGGGCAGCTCCATCGAGTTCTAAGACATTTTTTGTGGGCGTGCGAACCATTGACAATTGGCCCTGAGCCAGGATCGGAGGTTCTCCATTTTGGTTCATTTGGGCTGGCTCCATTGGAGGTTATCCCCGGAGGGAAGGTCGACAACAAATGCTTCCTATTTTAGGGGGTCCAAGACTGACATCTTGACAGTCATGGTCAAGCCTAGACCTGACGGAGGCAGGCTGAAGCGACTCGACGCCATGAAAATGAATAGTTAGAATAATGAGACGAGTCAGTGCACCAACGGGCAGTGAGTGGCGGAGATAAGAAGAGCCCTGAGTCAAAAGCAGCGAGGGATTAGCTTGGAGTGTGAGTGGGGTTCAGGGTCCAGAAAGGGACTAGTGGAGACAAGAACCCTGAGAGAGTGAGATTGAGAGAGAGAGAGAGAGAGAGAGAAACTCTCGTGTGGAGAGGAGAACGGGCCAAGAGCATTTCGGAGACCGAGGGAAACAAGAGAGACCGAGAAAAATCAGGGGAGGGTCCTGGGGAACGGAACTTGGAAGATCAGAGAAAATTACTCATGTAGCTTAAGGAATTAGGGAAAAAAAAAACACGGAGAGAAAAGGGGCCTGAGGCAATACTTCGATGCCGCATTCACATCCTCGTGGCCCAGTCAACCAGTTGGTGGTTGTTGGTTTGACTTACTTGGCATACCACACTCGCTTTGAAGAGTTTCATGCTGCCGTCATCAACCCTTCGGAGCATTGATGCAGACAGTCAGTCTCTCTTTCAGTCAATCATTCTTCGCAAACTACCAGGGGGTTACTCGGGGAGATCATTACGTCTTCTGCGATAACAGTATCCAGTTGAAGTAGACTCTCTCGTATCTGGTCTACCCAAGGTTACTTACCACTAGCTCGGCAACTAGCGTGGGCCATGCACTGCAGCCAGTTATGTAGTTGTTGTTAGATTAAATTACTGCTTGCTATTATTTCCTATATATGATCTCTCCCTCCCTCTTTCCCCCATTCGGGAGGTCAAACCCTCGTGGTACGTTCGGTCTTCGCGATTTCTCTTCGCCTTGCAACTTCCTCCCGGTTCCCTCTTTCTCTGTTCTTTCTTCTTTCTCTCTCTCTCTCCTTCCTTTCCACTGACTCACTCACTCACTCACTCACCCACTCGCTATCTACTATACTACCACTCTAGTCGTGATTCACTTCCCCCATTGTCTGCGGTCCCTCATTCATTGGCGCACTCGTTGACTGGATCTTCGTCGAAACCGGTCCTTTATATACTGTATTTTTATCCTCTGGATACCGAAAGAACTGGTGATTTTTGGTAAGTTCCACCGTTGTTGCTTTTCGTGGCTCAGGAACCCGCTCTGCATCAGACGATAAGACATGTGCTTCCCGTCCCGGGCACAACTTACAGCTTGGCTAATATATATGACCTGCCCTCGGCGCCTTTCCAGATCTTCAGTGATTTTCAAACTCCGTATCTTTCGCCTATCCTCTTGTCGACCTCTTTCCCCTACTCGTTAGCCAGATCGTGGTCTCGCAGAGTCTGGTCCTGCTGTCAATATGCACTTCGCCTCCTCCCTATTCCTGGCCTCGTTGGCCGCCACATCCGCCTTGGCTTCCGCGCCCACATGCAGTACCAGCTCGCAATGTCCGGAAGAGTACCCCTGCTGTTCGCGTATGTGCTACTGGTTGAACTTTGACCTTCCCTTCTGGTCACTAGTTGCTAATCTTCTTCATTAGAGTATGGTGAATGTGGTACCGGTGCTTACTGTCTGGGTGGATGCGATCCGATGTCGTCGTTCTCTCTCAACTCTTGCGTTTCCGGACCCGTGTGTCAGAGTAAGACCTACACGTGGGACAACCTGGACAATGCCGCCCTGAACACCAAGTATCTCGGAAACTCTTCGGAAGCCGACTGGGTCTACAGCGGCTACCCGAAGATCGAAGACGGTAACCTTCTGTTGACTATGCCCAAGAACACCGTGGGCAGCCTGTTCGCCAACAACCATTACGTCTGGTACGGCAAGATCTCCGGCAAGGTCAAGAGCAGCCGTGGTAAAGGTGTTGTCAGCGCATTCATCCTGCTATCAGATGTGAAGGATGAGATTGACTTCGAATTCGTCGGTTCTGATCTGGCTAATGTCCAGACCAACTACTACTGGCAGGGAGTTTTGGATTGTAAGTTCATCACCTGAGCTCACATAGTTGTGCTGCTGACACTCCCTCTTTAGACAACAATGGAGGCAAATCAGGGGTTAATGGCAGCGATACCTTTGATGATTGGCATGAGTATGAGATCGATTGGACCGAGGATGCTATCACTTGGTCTGTGGACGGTAAAGTCACCCGCACCTTGACGAAGGAATCCACCTACAACGAAACTTCCAAGACCTACAAATATCCCCAGACGCCTTCCCGGATGCAGCTGTCATTGTGGCCTGCAGGCCAAGCTAGCAATGCGGAAGGAACAATTCAGTGGGCTGGTGGTGAGATCGACTGGGACAGCGAGGATATCAAGGAGAAGGGATACTACTACGCCACCTTCGGAGAGATTACTGTTGAGTGCTACGACGCCCCGAACGGTACCGTCTCGACTGGTGACAAGTCCTACGCTTTCGTTGGCGAGGATGGACTCCAAAGCTCCGTCGTGATCACCGACAACAGCACCGTTCTCGCCTCTTTTGGGGCTACCGGCTTGGATATGGATCTCGGTAGCAAAAGTTCCAATACCACGGGCGACAACAGCACGGTTCCCGAGAACCGTGGAGGCTCGGGCAATGAGCCTGGCGCCACGAATTCGACCACTGGCACCAGCACCGGCACGAGCAGTGGTAGCGCCAGCGATTCGACGGGTTTCAGCCAGGGTACCTCAACCGACACTAGCTCCAACGGCGCCGCCTCTCCGAGCGAACGTGTTATGAGAGGCTCCTTCTCCGCTGTGTTGGTCGCAGTTGTCGTTTTGGTCACTCTATAAACAGAGTCGATAACCTCCGTTTTTCCCTTCTTGAACATTCTTATTCATGTATCTGCTTGGCTCATACCTGGCCCGACTCACCGCCACTCCTTTACGACTTCAGCGTACCATTCTTACTTCTTGATGTTCTATATCTGGCGCATTGATCGCCCTTTCCAGTTTCGACCCCTTACTACTACTATTACCTTTCCCAGTGGATGTCTTGATGTTTTTAATGATTGCGCATCGGAGGTTGCGTCCTTGTTTTGTTTTTGATGTCATCGAAATGGCTTTACAATACCTTTACTTAATACCCTTTTTGTTTCCGTATCGGCATGGGTATGCTGGTTGGTTCCTTTTATGTGCTGTACCGTAGAAAGGTACCTTCGAATCGATAATTCAGACCCTTTCCAAACTACGTGCAAGCTAGACTGATTGATCTGGAATTGATGGAACGCCACCAGTCTCACCTTTGACAGATAGATAGTCTTCAATCTTTGGGTGCGCTTTACATAGTCCATGATGAAGCATATCTACAGAAGAACTTCGTGAAAGACCTTCACCAGACTGACGAGTGCTGCAACAAATACTACATCTACATCAATAAATAGCGGAAACTTCCACTAAAAAAACATTCCAGCCATACTCCACACAACCCACCCATCACCCATTGCATTCACCATCCAGCAACCATTTTACCCCCCCCCTCACCACCCGCATCCTGCTAATCAGCCCAAAGTCCAAACAGGAACCTACCTCGAGGAGCTGAAGCTGGAGTGGATACATGTCCCATACCCTGCTCTTCTACACCAGCAAAGCCCATTTACCATGAACTAACATGGTCACTCTCTATTAAGAGCTCAGCACGCCTAGCCAGACAATAAATCTTGACTCCGTCCCGTTTTATACATACGACTCGAGACTTGACTAGATAAATATTCATACACACGTACACGCACACGCACACACACACACACACACACACACACACACACCAGACAAGACAGACAGGGAGACAGGGAAGGTAAAGTGGAAGGAATATGAAGACTGACAAAACCGGGGAGGCAAGACATGTCTACCAGTCCACGAAGAGGCGCTGGTGAGAGAGAGAGCTAGGGTGCTCGATCCTTGCTGTGTAGATGCTGCTGTTGCGGCGTGGTCTTGTGGTTATGCGGTTGGTTGCTCTGGGACTGGTTTCGAAGGTGGGCGTTGTATTAGGTTATATGAGTTGGGAGGGTTTCTCGGGGCTTTGGCTTGAATAAAGGGTGGGGTATAGATAATATTGTGCAGGGTGGTTGGGATAGGGATAGGGGATGGGTGCATTTGGTTAGTGTGGAAGAGGGGTGCTGAATATGGTGGGTGGGATCCTTGCCATTGTGCCATTGTGATCAGATTGATTTGGACATTGGATGTGCTATTCGGAGAGAAATCCCATGCTAATGTGAGACATCCAGTGTTCGTTTGTGGATAGCTACTTGACTATACCTAATTCTAGCTCAAAGCAGACCAATAATCCCTAAATCACGTGATCATAATCCTCCGTACGCCAGAATATCCATGCAAATAGTCACGATATAGGACGGTAAGTAGTGAAGATGGTACGCGATTCCTCGCTGCGCGCGGCTCTACTCTCTAGTGAACTCCACCGCAGCTGCAGCCTTCCTCCGACAGGGAGCGCTTGAACTCGCCATGGTAGGCGTCCAGTCCCTGGGTGCGGACATCCGCGCCGAGTGGGTCGCCCAGCCAGCCGAACGACGATGTATCGGCCTGGTCCTCGGCCGAGGCCATGGACCAATACTCGGAAGCTTGTAGCTTGTCGGTGACAGACTTCAGATCGAGATCGAGATAGTTGGTGAGGAACGACCCCACCTCGATGTTCTCGTTGTTTCCAAGGAGCGGCCAGGCATCCTTGGTGGAAGAGGCGTAGATGTTCACGTCAACAGCTGCGACCCGTTAGCATACTTCAAAGACAATAAGACAAGGTGAGAACATACCAGAATGTCCATGCGTTGCCCATCCGATCTGAGCTCTTCTGCTCACAATATCTGCAAACACATATTGAGGAATGATGGGCGAGTCCGGATCAAGCACGGCCCATACTTCCTCATCAGTGGCATCGGTAATGCCGAGATCCTCTTCAAGCAACTTGCGCACGTACTTCTTCTGCGCGGACGAGTCGCTTTTCTTCGAGACGTAATCATTCAGCTTGGCACTAACATACTCTGACGAGTGACTGGCGTTGGCCAGTACCCCGGGTAGCCACTTATACTCCGGATAAGAAGCATGGAGCTGTCGTGCAGCAGCTAATCCGCCAGTCTCGTGGTCGGACGTGCTCACTACCACACCAGGGGTGGAGTCTTTCTCAAGGAAGTCCAAGACAGCCGCGAAAGCCTTGTCGTAAGCCAATACCTCGTTGACTTGGGCAGCAGGATCGTTTCCATGGCCAGCATGGTCGATGCGTGAGCCCTCAATCATGAGGAAGAATCCTTTGTCGCTGTCAGCAGTAGCTTCGCTAAGAGCTTTCAGCGCCGTGCGGGCCATTTCCTCCAAAGACGGGTACACATCGTTCTGGCCACGACGGTCGATCTCGAAAGGAATGTCCTTCTCGGCGAAGAGACCCAACAGGGGCAACTTGACGTCTGCGCCCTCGTTCAGGGAATCGAATCCTTTGCGGTCCTTCAGGTAGTGAAACCCGTTCGTCTTCGCCAACTCAATCAGGTCACGATCATCGGCCCGACAACTTCCTTCAGTCGAATTAGGCAAGAAGTGGCAGCGACCTCCACCCATGATTAGATCCACGACACGGCCCAGAGGGTGTTCCCCGACCTCCTGTTCCGCGATCCGGTCTTCATACTGTCGAAGGTTCACGTGAGAAGCGAAGCAGGCTGGAGTTGCATCGGTAATACGGGTCGTAACCACCAGACCCGTCTTGTAGCCTGCGAGAGCAGCTGCCTCGAGAACCGTACCGCAAGGGGAGTGGTCGGGCAAAACGGAGATGGCACCATTGTAGCTCTTGAAGCCGCACGAGAACGCAGTCGCGCCCGCGGCGGAGTCGGTCACGAGACTGGAGCTCGACCGCGTCCTCGAGGTGCCGATAATGTGCTGATCAAGGACGAGGATTTCGTCAAGCGGAAGTCCTTCCGTGTATTGTCTGTAGTTTCTGGTCATGGTGAGACTGGCTGGGCCCATGCCGTCGGACACCATGAAGATTAGGTTGCGCTTGCCGGTCGGCTTCCCCCCGGGGCCCCACGAATGCTTTGAGTGATCATTGACTCGACTAGCTTCGTGCTGATAGACAACAGAAAGAACGATGACGGCGACGGTAGCGAGCAAAGCCCAGGTAAAGAGACCGACGTCTTTCCAAAATGCCCATCCCCGACCTTGGGTACGGTTGGTGCGTTCGCCGGTGAGCAGGGCATCCTCTTCCTCGGCGTTGCGGACGGATGAGTGATCGGAGGACGGGCGCGAGGCCAGGAGCGGCTCTTGTCGCGCCATGTTCCTGCGGTATTGCCTCTATCAGATATAATATGGATGTATCAATGCGCAGTAATGACAGTAGATCTGGATGTCATGAGAAATGAAGAAGGGGAGACAGAAGACAGGAGAAAGAGGAAGAGAAGAGGGCGAAGTCGGAGCTACAGGTGCAGTTCAGTTCAGCTGATAAGCAAGCAATCATCGGCCAGCGTGACCCTGACTTGCTGTTTCGGGTATCGCGTCGTACGGGGGATCGACGTCACCGCCTCACCTTGATAGATTAGGTAAGTGCTCACTGTGCTGCGTTTCAAAGCTCAATTTTGCATAGTATACATTAAGAAGAACAAGTTTAGAGCGAAGATCAATGTACGCATACGCGAACAGGTATGTCTGGATCAGCCGTGGCCCTCTCTAAAGATATTATGTGCCACATCGACCCACCCCTCCCCCAAAACATTCGCAGCACACATCCGAGTCTCAGACCTTCCACCATGAGCAACCAAGTTAGATACCAATACCACATCTACCTTCTGACATTTCCCTTCCAACCAATCGGGATCATAGCTGCCGCGATCTCCGTCAAGCCTCTCTCGGTGGCAAGCAGGTTGAACTGGGCAGCGGCATTCCGAGTGTCAGACACTTCCACCCGGACGCCCAGGGAATTGAGATGCTTTTTCGTCTCCGGCGCAAGAGGGAACACATATTCACCCATACCAAGAATGAGTAGATCTAATTTAAAAGCCCAGAGTATTAGCAAAGCCATTCCGTCTGATTCCCTTCGTAGCATATAAGCCCTTCCCCCACTCCCATCTCCTAAGCGAAGCAACTCACCAGGACGAGGCCACACCAGACTCAAGACCCCCCACACCTGCTCATCAAGCTCGAACTGGCCCTTCTTGTTGATCATACCATTCCGACCACCAGGAGCAACCTGCCACGGGCGCCACGGGAACGCCTCGCCGCCCACAAGCATGACGCCGTCGCCACCGGTGATCTTCACGCCGTTGTTCAGGTGGAAGCCGGTGTCAAGCGTGGCATCGATAGCGGTCGTCGGCGAGGGGATATTGCCGAGGACGTTGAGGGCGGCGAAGTCCGTCTGCGTATCCTCCGCGGACTGAGGTCCCCGGTCGTGGCTCGGGGGCTTTGCGCTGTGAGCGCGAGGAATCATCCGGGTCGGTCGGGCATGGTCACTGTTGTACCGCTGAGTTGACGCAGAGATGCCGATTCGAGAAAGGGGCGAGCGAGACCGCGAGGATAGCTGCTGGGCACAGAGAGTGGCGCTGGGGTTGGCGGAGATGGATGCCCGCAAGGCGCGCAGTAGCTGGGGCGATGGGCTGTGCATTATATGTATTTTTTCTGCTAGCACTCTTTGTGATTGAGAATTGAACAGCGCTGTAGATCTTTTGGTTTCGGTACTGCGCCGGAAGGTGAAGAAGGAAGAAAAATCAACCCGGTATGATGGCAGGCTGGGGTTGGAACGATTTGGTAAGTTGTCGGAGTCGCCCGCGCAGGGTCGGGATCGACATGATGCTAACCACTCACTAATTGCTCTGGCCTGTTCTTTTAGGCATCAACGCTTTACTGCTACAGACAGGCGGTGAGGTGAATTGTAACGTAACTTGTCGACCTTTTCTTTTCTCGGCTTAGAATGCCTGAAAGGCCAGGCACAAACGTCTCGGTTCTACTTTGCAGGGCAGATGTTTGATCATCTCATCGAAAACTCTTTTTGTATTAGGTACTATGCTGGCAAGTGCAACATGAAGTAGTTAGCTAAATGCAACTGGTCTAGGATGTTTTATTCCCGGTTCCAAGCCGTAACCTCGTGTCGAACTGGGGGGCCAGCTCGACGTCTCCCATGAAATGACAATGAACACAATGTCATGCAAGTCATAAATCAATAGAACGCCTCTGTATTCAAGCGAGTGTGGGATTTTATGTGTCCCTGAATCTTTATGTTGAACCCCCGAAATCCCGCGCAATCCACGCGACAGTCAGTATAATCGTGGTATGAGGCAGGGATGGACGACGCTAGCCGCGGTCTTAGCACTGTACCATCTACACAATGGCTCAAAGCACATTATTTTCAACTTTCTTCGGTGGGCTTGTTATTTGAGCGGCCCTGGCTCTGTCGGCCTGTAGGGGCAAGAGCGTTGCTGTTCCGATCCTCATCGGATTGGCTGGAACTATCATCCCCAACACCACCTGCCGTTGATGCGCTACGCAGGCGCTGAGCTCGATCTTGTAGCACTTGAGCTTCAGCTGCTGCCCTCTGGGCGCGAATCTGCTTGCGCCACATGCTTGCGTACCGGCCTTTCATAGCCAGCAGTTGATCGTGAGTACCACGCTCAACTACCCGTCCTTCATGCATCACCAAAATCTGGTTTGCAGTAGTGATAGTACTCAATCGGTGAGCAATGACGAGCATGGTTCGACCGCGGGAAAGGCTAGATAGTGCCCCTTGGATGTGCTCCTCCGTTTCGGTGTCGAGAGCGGCGGTCGCTTCGTCTAGAAGAATGATTCGCGGGTTCTTGAGAATGGTTCGAGCAATAGCCACTCGTTGCTTTTCTCCTCCGCTCAGCCGCAAGCCACGCTCGCCCACCTTGGTGTTATAGCCATCCGGGAAAGACATGATCTTATCGTGGATGCTAGCCGCTCTACACGCTTCGTAGACTTCTTCCTCCGTAGCGTTCTGGTTGGCATACTTCAAGTTGTACATCAGAGTCTCATTGAAGAGAACAGTGTCTTGTGGCACAACGCCCATATGCCGCCGGAGCGAGTCGATCGTTATACTCTCAACGTCGTGGCCATCAACACACATACGGCCACGCTCGGCGTTGTAGAAACGGAAAAGTAGTCGGAAGACTGTAGACTTGCCTCCGCCAGACTCACCCACTAGAGCTGTTGTGGTGCCGGGTTGACATTGGAATGTCAGGCCGTTTAGAGCCGGCTTGCGTGCGTCATAAGAGAACTCAACATTCTCGAACGTGATCCGGCCACTGCATACAGGCAAAGGCCTCGCGCTAGGCCGATCCACAACAGTAGGCTGTTCCCGAAAAAGCTCCAGCATTCGTTCGGAGTTGATGAGGGCTGACTGGATGGAGCGGTAAAAGGTTCCAAAGAAGTTGAGGGGCCCTTGCAACTGTGCCATGTACGTGAGCAATGACACAAATTGGCCTACATCTCGCTGTCCCATGGACACCTGATAGGCAGCAATGAAACAGGCGATAAGCAACCCCAGCATGAAGACAGTGTTTTGCGACGTATTCATGAGATTGAGAGAGAAGAGAACAGGATACTCGGCCTTCTGATAATCCGACACTGCTTGTCGGTATCTTCCGAATTCATAGTCCTCCGCGTTGAAATATTTGACTGTTTCATAAGAGACCATGGAGTCATTCCTGTGGTGATTTGTCAGCTAATAAAAAAAAAATGTAATGATTGGCTCAGGTTGGCACATACTTGATGGCATCTTCTTGTCTGGACTTGTTAACCATTTCCCTTCGAATCTCTGCTCGCCACTGTGCCAAGCGCACTGTGACATATAGGTAACAGAAAGTGATGATGGTGACCACAAGGGCGTAATATGCGTCAAAATAGATAAGGAAGTAGACAATAGCCACACAGAGATCGACCAACATCGGGACGACTTGGAAGGTGACTTGCTCGAGAAATGTATTGATCGAACTACCTTTGCTGAGGGCAGAGAGCACTTCGCCGGTCTTCTTTCCCAGGTGGAAATCAAGACTCAGGCCGTGCACGTGTTCGAAAGCTGCAGTCGAAAGCTCCATGTACGAGTACTGGCTCACGGGAATCCATAAACTGGAGCGCAAAGACCCAATGAGTCCCTGGTTGCCCTGCAACCATCGGTAAAGGATATACAAGCAGATCTCGTACCACGGTATCCTGAGTTTGCCGTCTTTTTTAGAGAGGATATTCGTGATGACACCCACCTGGTGAGGAACGAGCACGTTGACGATACGTTGCAAGATGATCAGCAAAAAACAGATGACCACCACGATCTGCAAGCGGCGGGATTTGGAAGGCCAAAGATACGGAAAGAATAAAGAGTATCCGCTCAAGTATTCCCACCAGCTAGTGGAAGGAACAGTGGTCGGACGCACCCAAGGATCGGCGGGCTTCGAAGGCTGAGCATGGCCATTCGTCGCCCCGTAGCCGTTCCCGTTTTCTACACCATGGGCATCGAGCAACCCTGTCGTTTCGGTAGAGCCATTGGCCTGAGTTTGTTCCCTCTTGTGATTGAAGTGGACCATACTGACGACATAGGTCAGGACCATGGTAGCAAGAATGAGCAATCGGATGCAATTGAACATGACCCCCGTCACTTCCCACGACGTTATCCCCTGTCGAAGGCGACCACCGATAGGATCTCCGACCACGGGTTCTCGATGGGGACTGGTATAGATTGCAAGAGATGTGCCAAGGATTCCAACTTCGATCGGGATAGCCAGCAGCCATGGGACGAATTGAGCGAACGTCGGAGAAGGATTCGTATCCAATAATGACACAAGGATAATGGCGTAATCAAAGAATGACCCCACAACATATATCTATGTCAAATCAGCGGCTGCGTCGAGGAGGAAAATACATGCGACTACAAGAACATGGCCCAGAATCAGATCAGCGAACTTACCACAACAGATTGGCCGCACCACCAGTGCTCTGATCTGGCAATGATAACATGCGACACATTCAGCGCGCCTTCCGCAACAATGGTTAACAGTATTCCGACTGAGAACCATTTGAAGAGCGACTTCGCGTTCTGAGAAAACCTCTGGGGCGATTTCAGGACGGCCATTGTGCTTCTTGACCGCTTGGGAAGCGGTCTTCCCCCGGGTCCAGTCTGCGCATTTTTGCTGTTGCAGTTCACATTCTTAGCTGCCAGGATAGAATTGGCAACAAACGAAGCGATGAAGACGAGGAGGAGGAGAATTGGGGATCCAGTGCGAAGGTACCCCAGGAGTTTCCGGGTGGCATGGTGAGTATCCATGATAGAAGCCCGCTCGGTGACCGAAAGTTCTCTTTGGGGCGTTCAAGGTATTATTTCCATGACACTGCGACCGCAATCTTGGGTCTAGGGCGAAGAATATAGATGACAGGCGGTGAGAGCTCGGAGGAACGGCGAATACTCGAGGTCGAAGGGTGAATTGCAGTTAGGGATTCGTCGACCGAAGAGAGGCAGAAGTTCAACGAGACCGGCGGACACGTGGGAAATAGTAAGGTTATGTCTCTCTTGTAATGTTCTATTTAAATTTAGAAGGAAGAATGGTCTCTGGACAAAAAAAAAAAAGACAGGAAGAAGAAGAGTTATGGAAGATTGGAAGGGAGGGAGGAAAATTAAAGAGGCGCGTAAGGTTAAAAACTTAAAATGAAGAAAAAGGAACTGCAATAGATACAGGAGAAGAAGAATACAAGTTGATTAATCAAAGACTATAAAGAAGAGAAAGGGTTGGCAGCTGGAGGTGTATACTGCACCAATAGCTCTGATTATGCAAGAAATAAAGAAACGAGGAGAGAGAGAAGAAGAAGAGCGGAAGAAGAGGGAGGGAAGGGAAAGAGAAAAAAAAGGACAAGATAGTCCAGAGGCACACGAGAGGAAAGGATCGTTGGATACAAATAGCAGCTTGACGAGAGGAAGAATGACGGTGTGAATGCGGAAGACGTCGAGAGAGAACCAGAACTGCACTAGTTCGGCTCCAAAGCTAGTTCCGTATTAAGCTTGGTTGGATCCGGAAGGCGAGGGGAAAATAATAATAATAATCGTTGGCATTATTATTATATCGATGGCGAAAAAAAAATAAAAAGAAAAAATAGAAAATAGAAAATTCGAAAAGGAGAAAAAGAAGAAAAAAAGAAAACGAAGCAGAACAACGAGGGAAGGCGAAGAACAGAAGGAATATCCGCCCTACGTACCTCACTCCAACGGTCGCTTTTATTATTCCCGGCTGATCAGATGCAGGCAGCATCGGAGGTTTTTCTTTTCTTTCTTCATCTGCGTTCTCTTCTGTCCCTCTTATTATATTCCCATCGTCCCCCTCCCATGCGCTAATTAAATAGTACAAGTTGAACGAGAATAATCAGGATATTAATAAAATCCAAGGAGGGGGGTGTGGGTGGCCTAATCAATCAAAACGGATAGGTCCTGGATTGGAATGATCAAACTACAGGGTAGTACGTAGTCCGTTTGTCTCTCTATGATGGATGTACCAGCAGTTGTAGACATCCTTTGGGTCGGATCCCGTGGAGGTGAAGAGAAGAGGTGCAGAGGTGCATCGCGTCCAATGAGAATAAGGATTGGAATGGAGCTTCCCGTGTGCTGAAGGGGAAAGAATCCACTCAAGGAGGGTGACATGATCCCCAAACACTTCCTCCAGTCAAAAGAATGAAAAGAAGGATGACGGTTAAGGATGAGGATTGAGGATGAGGGGAGATCAAGGCCTGTGGGGTCGATAGGTCTACGAGTAGCAGTAATAGATGGCACAACTCACAACACTGCAAGTTACCGCCATTCTGATACATCAAGACACCCATGCTGGGGGGCACACATGAGCTCCTCCGATGGCAAGCGAGAAGCAACTGGAGGGGATCACTTGTAGGGGTAGGTCATGACAGATCTCGATGGAGGAGGACTTTGCGCAAATCGATGCGAGACGGAACAATGGAACGAGGACGAGAAGGACGAATGATGGAAGGCCTGAGCTGCCGCAGCAATTAACCGCTGGGGGATTCTCTGGAAAGCCGTTTGTTGAGATGGGAAGAGGAGCTCTCTGAGTGGTCTCTGACCCCCGGTTGGAGCAAAGACACATCACGGCCCAGATGCCGGTCCATCAACTTGGACCCCTCCTTCCTGCTGGCCTTGGTGTGCTGCAGCGCTGCTGGAAGATAAAGCCCATGGCGCTCACAGGGTGAAATACGGGCGGCATGGGCGATGGATCAAGCCCTTTCAGATGCAGGTGTCTAGCTCGGAGGAGGCGTAGGTGGCTGGCGGTTTTCAGGGACATCTGTAGCTACAGATTCGTCTGGCCCAATATGTACATCCTCAGGCTGGATATATATCAATCTATCCATCCCGTTCGCTGCCAGTATCACTACATCCCAGACACCCAACAAAATGCGGTAATCGGTGGAGAGAGGCAGTGTAGCACCTTTCCATCGAAGCTATTAGTAACTACTAGATATGCATCAGCCGACTGCTAGTATGGCCACAGAGCAAGCGCCTCTGATGCGGGGAGTATTCTTCATCCGCAAGACTTATGCGCATCCATCACGATTTCGACGCGTCATTCGGTAACCGTGCCAGACTAGTCCATTTACATGTAGCTTGTCCCACCTGAAAGTCCCGAATGTCCGGATGATCTAAAACAACGCCTGGAATGTACAGCACCAGACCATTGGAAAGTGAGACAAATGACATGGCCACCCAACAGCTTAATCTCGGGTTTCCTGTCTCAATTTCCGCACCGTTCAACCTGCATGGGCAGCCTCTACCGATAGGTGGCGGTCGATTTAAGCACTCTCACTAGGGAAAGAAATGTGAGGGTAAGACAACCATGATCATCATAGGCGGGTGTTGTAATTACCTATGCTTGCAGGTTGGACAGGAACAATTCTTGATCCGATTGAACCCCGTCAACTCGTGATCGCACACCGCCTTGAACCTGCATGCATCCCTTGTCTGCATCCATCCATCCATCCATCCATCCATCCATCCACACCGTGGACTACTCCGCTCACAAGTCCTTCTGAATGTTGTTTCCGCAACCAACACCACTTTCTTTCTCTCTCCTTCCCTCCCTTGTGTGGCTGGTTGGCTGGTGACCAGATGTTCAAGAGAGTTTAGTTCGAGCCGTCTTCCTAGCCTAGGCTACATACTATTTACTTTGTCCTCGATCGTAGGCAGCAGGGCACAGAGTACTGCGTCAGATCGGAAGGAGAAGCGACAATGCCGATCCATGATGATACTACTACTGGGAGAGAGCCTGCAGAACATTAAACAAACATAGCAAACTGATTCCAGAGACTTGTACCGTCCGTCCCAAAATATCACCAGCTCAGCTTGTACAGTAAATGAGTAGCTATACTTGAATATTCGGTCGAAGTTACCGATTTCTATCTAGCTGCGACAGCTGCGCATCAATCGATACCTCAGATAAAATGGCACTAAACCTCGCTGGGGAAAACAGACATCACGGGGTATTGCCACTGGTTACATAATAGATTCGCCCCAGCTTAAAGCTTCTGGCACTAACCGATTCAGGTATCAAGCCGTGTGGCGGGCGGATAGATTGAACCGGCAGAATTCCATCCAACGCGGTTTGTTGCTCCATAATTGCACTGTCCGCCTCACATTCCTGCACTACTACTACAATTACTTACTGCTGGTCCTTGACAGTATCACCTCAAGATCCAATCATCCTCATGACTTACCTTTGCTTCATGACATCCTCTAAATCGTTCCCCGGATTGAGATCATAATTCCAGGAATCAGCTGGCACCAACCCCCACCTCCCCTAGTCTCATCTTCCGCCTCCCCTTTTCGTTTCCCTTTGGCTTTCCCTTTCCAGGTTCCCTTCCTTTCCTGTTCCCCACCTCTCTCTCCTCTCTGCTCACTCTTGTTTGTTCGTCTGGGAAAAGAAAAACCTTCACAGTCATGGAGCTCCAATCCTCATCCCGTTAAGTCATGCACGACTGACCTTTGAAGAGAGTCTGACTCTGCAAATCATGGCCGACTTCTCTCGATTGCCCCCCCGAGGCAGCACTTCCCCAGCAGCGCCGCCGCCTCCCCCACCTCCAGCTCCTGTGCAACAAAGTCACAACAAATATTCCAACCGCGCGGCCAGTGCTTTAGCAAGATTTGCCCAGCCTTTTTTCTCCGGGTCTCGACCTCCTAGCCCGCATACGCAAAGTGGCCGTGCAGATCTATCTGCTGGTCCCCGTTCCACTAGGTCCAAGTCCTTGTATAGCTCTCCACTCCACCCAACCCCTTCCCAGATGCTGATTTTACTCCCTCACTCTGCTCTTGCCCTGCACCACCCCTTACTTCTCTTTGTTCGGTTGCTGCTTTTAGTTATACCTAGTCACTCGGGCCTGATTACTGGGGTGACAGAAAATTCTCAGCTTCCTGGTCGCGAAAGGTTTATTTATCTGACGTCTTTCTTAGACCTGGTGCTTCTCAAACGATCTCCCACAAAACTGGGATTCCTATAGCTGCGTTGGACGTCTCCCCTCAGCGGACCCATGCAGTTATTGGCGGCAAAGAAATTTTGAAAACGATCCGGGTCTCGCCTGATCACTCGTCCGAGGAATTCAATCTTCGCAATGCGATCATCAGCTATTCTTCTACTCACCATGTCGGGACTGGGCTTTCCGCTCGGCACAAAGACCAGCTGACTGTCAGAGATGTGAAGTGGTCACATGGTGAGCATGACCAAATTATCGCCACCGCAGTGGCCAACGGCCGCATCGTGGTCTACGACCTGTATCGGACAGGCTTAGAATGCTGCCGATTCCAGGGACATAGTCGTCAAGTTCACAGACTAGCCTTCAATCCGTATCATTCATCATGGCTGCTGTCCGGAAGCCAGGACTCTTCAATTCGTATGTGGGATTTGCGCGCAGCATCAACAGAACGGGGCGTCTTGGTGTGTGGAAGTACGGAGTTATTTAATGGTAACAGTGACGCTGTTCGTGACATTAGATGGTCACCGACCGACAGAGTCCTGTTTGCAACAGCCACAGATAGTGGAGCAATACAGCTGTGGGACTGCCGTAAGACCAGTGCACCGTTGATGCGGATTACTGCTCATGATCGGCCATGCTTTTCGGTTGACTGGCATCCTGATGGAAAACACCTTGTTAGTGGAGGCACAGATCGACAAGTCAAGGTCTGGGATTTTTCTACCACAGCAGAGAGAAGACAGAAGCCGGCGTTTCAGTTCCGGACCCCTCAGGCTGTTCTCAATGTCCGTTGGCGGCCTCCATCATGGGCGAGGGAGCCGGAGGGTGCTGGCGATTGGCAGTCGTCGCAGGTGGTGACATCTTATGAGAAGGAAGATCCACGAGTACATCTTTGGGATCTTCGTCGACCCCATATCCCTTTCCGCGAGTTTGATCGTTATGATGCTCACGCCACCGATTTACTTTGGCATTCGAAGGATTTATTGTGGACGGTAGGCGAGGCTGGTGCCTTTACTCAGACCGATGTTCGATATGCTCCCCAAGTGGTCAATCAACGGCCGACCTGTGCTGTCGCCTGGAGCCCAAGGGGAGAGGTGCTTGCTTTTGTCCAGAAACGTCCCCGACGAAGCCCCCTAGGACTAAGTGCTGCTGAGTTCGTGGGTCCCCAGCAGGAAGAGAGCAGTAGTGGAGAAGTTTTGAGCCAGAGCCCTGTGGACGACCTCCTTGATGAAGCCCCTCTTACCTCGATTCGACATCGATACAGTAAGTCAAGTAGTGTTCGGCAGTCGAAATCATTAAGCAGTACTCCCCCCAGTGCATCAGAACTTATCCCCATTCTTCCACTGGAGAGATTACTGTCCAAGATTAAAGCTCCAGAGGCACGTCAGCTTGGGGTAGTTGGAAGTATTCCAGGTGCTACATTAGATCAGGACACATTCCATTATCTGGCTTCGCACTATTATCCGCTATTCACCGAGTCGGAGACCGTCCTTGGGAATCCAATCCAGTCCTTGCTTGGATCACTTGGGCACAATGCACAGTGCTCAGAAGACCTATCTCTATTCAAGCTCGCCCAGACCTGGCGGGTTATTCAATACGCCGTCATCCAGGAACTTGAACTTAGAGCTAAGCAACAGCCTTCTTCACTCGATAAGGGACTTCGGAGTATGAAGAAACAACCGTCTAAAGAAGGCCCCGTCTCAGAAAAACAGCGGACAATGGAGGACGACCGACAAGAAAAATTTAAGAACAAGCTGATCAAGAGCGTCATTGAAGGCGATGCATCGAAGCACCCTCTCACAGATACTGAGGGTGCTTCGAATATGACCACCCCACTTGCACAACCATTACCTGATTCCCCTCTCGGATCTCTGGATAGTTCAATCTCCCACATGACATCCCTAAATGACATTACAGACATTCAACAGCTTCCAGCATCAGTCTTGAGTCCTAATATTGGGACAATGTCATCGAATGATTGGTCATCGGTGTCAGATGTCGACCCTCGGCCAATCCGCGACTTCCATGAGAATCGAACGCAGTCAAATCAAGGCGCCCATATTGCGCCGGAGAGTCTGCCGCCCGATTTTTTGCGTCCTGCTGTTGCCCATGATGTGGCCGATGACCAGCGATCTGCGCCGAGAGCCATTACTGGCAGAACAGACTGGCACATCAAAAAACCGGCAGGCGTTTCGAAAGATGCGTCTGAGGTGGATGAATATGATTTGAAGATGGAAGATAAACGGGCAGCAATCCGTGACTACAAGCTTCATCCGAAGAAAGTGCTAACGCTTGAATCTCGGACGCAGACTGACAAGCCCCCAACATATCATCGCCAAGAATCATCCGAAAGTTTCCCAATGTTCTCTGCATCGACCGAAAGTTCACATCCCTCTAGATACATGGGCACGTCGCTTTCTTCTGCCGCAAGACTTCACGAGACACATGAGACTGAAGATCAAGGCCAGCAGGTGGATGTACCCATCCCCAGCAATAGCATACCAAGGGCTAGAGGAGAATCCATCCTAGGTCCTGATATTGTGCATGAGTCTGAAGTTACCCGCAGAGAGCCACTTGAGGAGGGAGTGTTCTCTGGTTCCGATACTGTACATCTTGATCGTCCTTCTAGTCCACCTCCGCTTCTCAAGGAAAGCCGACCATTAGAGCCTTGTATTCTGGGAGAAGGGTCTCAGACACTGCACACTGGCTTAGGTGCTCAGGCCATCTCTGGTGTATCGAGACAGTTTTCAGACGTCAGTATACCGATTACTCCCGATACAGCCACTAACAAGCCCTGGAGCGTTGAGCTTCTCTTCAAGGAAGCGGTCAGGCACTATCATAGTGGTGCTGTTGTCGACATTCAGTCTGCCGCCCATCTCCTTTTGAAACTGCGAACTCTGTTCCAGGATTGCGACAAGATTCTACCCAGTGAAGAGACTGAAATCATATTCAAAGCCTACAATGAGCGACTGCTACGTCAGTCAATGTACATAGAGGCGGCTGAGCTTCGGCTCCTCTGTGTACCATCTTACCCAGCAGTCTATGAATACGCCCAGGCGGACACATACATGAACGTATTCTGTTTCTCATGCAAACGGCCCTACGAGAATCCCAAAAGTGATAATGGGCGATGCTATCGCTGCAATACCCCTCAGGACCCATGTGCTATCTGTATGAGCGCCGATCCTCCCCCGGAGTGGGTTGCAGAGCTTTCGACGTCATCGGACCTTCCCGATCTCGGATCTGGTTCACCATATACCTTGTCTGCTTCACATTCCTCTCTGGGAACAGAGCCAATACCTCAGTCTGAAGTACAGCATATGGACGCTATGTTCTCCGAAAATTCCCAGCCACCTCGACCCAAAGGAGCCACTCTCTGGACGTGGTGTCAAGGCTGTGGCCACGGAGGGCATCTAGCTTGCATCAATACCTGGCTGAAAGACGTATCCGTCAGCGAGGGTGGTTGCGCAACCCCTGGATGTATGCATGACTGTGGCCCTGGGCCCCGCCGTGAACACAACCGGTCTGTATTGCTGGAGGAGTCTAAGAAACGAGATTCCGCTGGTCGTAAGGCTGGTGTGGGCTTTGTCAAGCGAGATACCTGGGCCAAAGGGGAAAGCAGGGCAGTGGAGAAGGTTCGTGGTATGCTCGGGGTCGGTGCTTCAGCTGGAAGTACTTCCACCACAGCCACCACCAGCGCCGGGCCCAGTGGAGCTTCTTCTGCCACGATGTCTCCCAAAAAGGTTCGACTGGTCACACCTAGTGAACAAGGAAAACCGCGGCGGAGTGGCCATCGAACAAGTTTTGGCGGCAGTGGCAGTGGGCTAAGCAGTTGAACCTAGTTCCGATCGTGTGATCTGAAGCGGATAATTGGTAGACGAGCCTGGAGGTATCTTACCTTTCATCGTTCCTGTTCCTTGTCTTAATCACAAACTGAGACATCATCGTCGAGCCTTTCACTTCAGCATCTTATACCCAGTGAAATGGACACAGAAATCGGGGTTGAGATGACGACTGTACATAGAGTAATGCAACTACATACTAGTAGTAATGCGGTTAATCCAATGAAATGTCTTCCTGCCCGATACCTAATCCAAAACAAAGGCTATGATAAACCAAAAGAGATATACACTATCACACTAACACAAGGCGGCCGGGATCAGAATTTCCGCTTCTTCTTGGCCGGAGCCTTGGCCTTGGCTTCGAGTTGTCGTTTCAATTCCTCCCGCTTGCGATCAGCCCTTTGTTGCTCAGTCTCCTCTATCTCTGGTTCCGTGGACGGGGTCATCTTGGACCTTGGTTCATGAGATACGGGACGGGTAGCCCGTAGTAGTTCTAGCTTTGTGTCGACTCCTTTCAGAGCATCGTTATCTTGCTCTGATATGACAGAAGGCGCAGCGTCCTTCGGTGACCCAGGTTCCATGGCGTGCCTGCTGGAACGTGCAATACCTCCGATCACCCCCAATTGACCGATCCGTTTGGGAGGTTTGGTCTCTGACTTGGATAGGTGGTCCGATGGTTGTTCGGAGGCTTGTGGAGTTGATGAAGGTGGCGGTGGTGGAGGTTGTTGCTCTTTCTTGCCGCCGATAACCCCGAGGCCGCGTTTGGCTGGTGCTGGAGCTGGAGCTGATGCTTTTGGTTTCGGTTTTGGTGGTGGGGGTGGGGAAAGATCATCGTCTCCGTCTGTTTCTGAAGCAGTTGCATCGCTATCTGCTGCTTCGGGAGGTGAACGTCTTGGTGACTTGGATTTCCGGTTCTCGTTGGTGTCTACTGGAGGCGGTGGTGTTTTCTCTTTCGGTTGTGGTTTCCTTCTGCCGCCGATGATGCCGAGGCCACCTTTTGCAGGCTTCTGTACTGCTGAGGGCTCCGACGATTTGGTCGGTGATCTCGTCTCGTGTGTCTCTGTGTTTGACTTTAGGCCTGGGCTTGGTGATAACGCCTCGGCTGTGGTTCGTTTCAGGTGTGGGGGCGTTTCTTGCCGCTGGAGTTGAAGATTGGTGAATGCTGAACTGATAAGGATCTGGGAGGGGGATCGGGCTTACCTCGAACTCATCGTCCTCATCGTCATCCTCATTGCCACTGTCGGTGTCGGTTTCAAGGCTGCCACTGGGCGGACGCTTGTCTACAAATCGCTTCTGTGACTCACTGTCGGACGGGTCCTCGACTGCAGCCGAGAGCTGCTCCCACCATCCTTCTGGCGGTGCACTAAGGTCTTGCAGCTTATCAGTACTGCTGACGTCGAAGCCAGTAGCTTCTGTGACTAGACTAGCTGCGGAGCTGAGTTCGGGAAAGGATACGTTGGTTTCCTGGGCCCATGAGTCCTTGTCGAATGGCTCGACCCCTTTGATGTACTTGGCAGTATGTGACAACATTGTATCTTTTTGTCCTGGCCGGTGACCAGAGACGCCAGGGAAGACGGTGCCTATATCGATACCCATGGCTTCGAGTTTGTCGAATAGCTTGCCCAGGACCCAGTCTTTCTTCTTCAGCTGGTCAATCAGAACCTGTTCCCGCGATTGCCACACCGCTTCGGCTTTTATCAAGGGCAGAAGCAGCTGGTTAGTAGATAAAGAATGAGGGTTTCGAGATAGATAGAGATTCCAGCGGAGAGGCTTGAGGGGAGCCGGGAGCTTCGTTGTGGTAGTCAAATGGAGGCTTGCACTCTCTAAGCCACGGCTTAGCACGGTGTTGTGTCCTGAGTCATGTTGCAGTGCCTCTCCGATCTTCTGCAGGAGCACTGTAAGTTGTTCTTGATCCTCACTGGGATCGATGGTGGTGTCGTCATCATCTGCTCGTCGCAGGATAGATTTGCGATCTAGATGTTCAGACCATATGTATGTAAGATCGGTGATAAACAACTCATATCCTTCCACAGTATAAGAAAATTGATACAGCAGTGGGGGCACAAGGCTCGAGGATGAAACACGCAGCCTCTGCCACTTCAAAGGCATCTTGACCGCGCCTGACACTTTTTTCCTATTTTAGGAGATTATTGTAGATGGATAGTTGAGTGGTAAGAGCCGCTTGTTGAGGCATCCGCGGGTTGGTTTGATAAGTAGGCATAAACTAGATGCACGTGCTGATAAAGAAGGTCTGCCGAACGATTAACCTTCCAGATGAGGGAGACCATGTCAACCCAACCTTGAGAGTCTGGACTGTCCGATAACAGTGCGCGTAGAAAGCTTGCTTCTCCATTTGGTGACCACTCCACAATTCAATGTGCCCTGTTGTTTTCCTCTGATTATACATTCACGATAGGTTTATTGATATTCCACAGCAACTTGACAAGATGTCGTCGCGATTCCCCGAGCGGCCAAGCTCAAAGCGAGATCGTTCTCGCTCCCCGTCACGTCACCCCCAGAAGCTTCCACGCCGATATGAGGAGAGAGACCAGCAACAGGATTACAACAGGGGCTGGAGAGACGAGGAGAGTCGTCACCCACAACAGTCGCGACCGCGGAATATGAAGGATCAAGTGCGGCTCAATCAACTTCAGGAAGATGAGCAGGTCCGGGAATGGGTGGCGCAGGAGGACATCTTCGTTCTGAAGCAGGCCAAGAAGAAGGCAGAGATCCGGGTCAAGGAAGGCAGGGCTAAGCCGATCGACTGGCTCACAGTTACTCTACGGGTCATTGATCCTACGAGGAACCCCTTGGATGACGAGATCGCCGACTCGGAGCTCGATCTGGTGGACCCCGATGGTGTTTTTGAAGGACTATCGCAGACGCAGTTGTTGGATTTGGAGAAGGATATTGATACGTTTTTGAGCTTGGAGAAGAACTCGCAAAACAGAGATTTCTGGAAGGTGAGGAGTTCCTTTGGTCTTGCTGGCGGTGGTGATTCAGGCGATGCTAACCACCATTTTTCTGGCACAGACAATGAAAGTCATTTGTCGGGATCGCCAAAAAGTCATAGGGCCTGAAGGTCGCGCTCTGAGCTCGGTTGCGTCCGACATCGACCGACTGTTGAGCCCTAAATCCTACGAACAGCTTCAGACACTCGAGGTGCAAGTCAGGAGGAAGTTGGATTCGAACGAGCCCATCGATACAGATTACTGGGAGGAACTTCTGCGCAGTCTTACTGTCTGGAAAGCTCGTGCGAAGCTCAAGAAAGTGTTCCAGGATGTTATCGATGAGAGAGTCAGAGGGCTGCGCACGCAACAGCGTGAGGAGGCCGAATCTGTGCGAGCGAAGCTCGCTCCGCTAGCGCCACTTATTCAGGCAAACTCTGACAGTGAGGCCCAGGCTGATCCTCAGGACTTTGAAGGCCTCGATTCGGATCCACTGCTTCAGATCCACCCAGAGGACAAAGTGCTGGAGATTGTGGATGAAAGCGCCTTTCTTGGTCAAGTGGTGAGTTCAAATCGTACTACAGAGCATAGATCATCTCTTGAAAGCTAGTGCTGACACTACGCAGGCTCGCGAACGACAAAAAATCCTGAAGATGGGTTTTGTGCCGCTGCGGCAGCGACATGCAGAGAAGTCTTCGGCTGCTCCTTTGAACCAAACAACAAACATGCCAATTGCTAGCGCCTCCACCAGGTTCTCGACCATTCCCAACGATGACTTTTCTCAGGCGACAAAGGCCCTCTATGAACGCGAATTGGCGAAAGGGGTCAGCGAAAACGAGGAGATTTTCACTGGCGAAGAAGCTGTAAGCTCCGGCGCTCAACCTTTGTGGGCAGGCAAATATCGACCCCGCAAGCCGCGGTATTTCAACCGTGTTCAAATGGGCTACGAGTGGAATAAATATAATCAGACCCATTATGACCATGACAACCCACCTCCTAAAGTCGTCCAGGGCTACAAGTTCAACATCTTCTATCCAGATCTTATTGATAAGACCAAAGCCCCGACCTACCGCATCGAGCGGGAAAATGGCCGCAAGCGCGGTCAGTCCTTTGCAGAAGCAGGGGAAGAAGACACTTGTCTTATTCGCTTCATGGCCGGTCCCCCTTATGAAGATATCGCGTTCCGCATCGTGGACAAGGAGTGGGACTACAGTGCGAAGCGGGAACGTGGTTTCAAAAGTACTTTCGACAAAGTATGTTAAATGCCCCATGTTCACACGAGAGCAAAAGGTAACTGACGATGGCGGTAGGGAATTCTGCAATTGCATTTCCAATTCAAGCGGGTAAGTCGAGTTCCATCCAGCCGTCGCATCCTGGCGTTATACTAACTCGGTTGTATAGATCTATTACCGGAAGTGAAATCAAGGCTTTTCTCGGAGTTCCGGCGTTTTGGAACACCTAGTAAATCCCAGTATGTGCCAAAGGCCAACTATCGTCAGGTCTGGGTTCCACAGGGACGAATTTATCCGCGTACAGCGGAGAGCAGTTCTCGCTCTTCTGATTGGGTTGCAGATTATAACCGTCTGATCCCGCACTGGATTTGATCTCAGCCAAGCTAAGACGTATCATATCCGATATGAAGCTACTACATCGTCAGTCTCGCAGATCATGGTCTCCACTCGTGGAAAACCTGTCAATGCTTATTTGCACCGCAATCAAGATCTGTATCTCGCCGGCTGTGAACGCTCCCATTCCTGGACATTTTCTCTAGCAAATGGCTCCCTGTGCTCTAGGTGGCCCCGGGGCACATCACGTGCAACAAATCAGGATCTGAGCTGGGGCCATACCTTATGCTTCCTCCGCATGGGCGTCGTGGAACTGGGAATGAGGGTAACAATTGTGCGGCTTTGGATAGACATCGCGTATTGTCCTGAGGTTCCGGCTGGTCGGGGAATCCGGAAAGCAATGGTATCTGCAGGACAATTCTAAAAACTGCTCCTGGCTTGATGGAAAGGGGAAAGGGGAGGGGATGCCTCCAATTCTGAAAATCTGGAGTAAATTGCTTTTTGTTCTAGTCTACTTAGTGCCTTTTTTTCTGTTTGAAAAAGGCAGGACCTCTGCAGGCTACCGATATCGCCATCATAAGAACTTGCATGACCGGGGTCAATTTGGCGCGCTGTAGGCCACCCAGGGACCGCTATCGCGAGCCCCATAGGACCAGATCTAGCCTTCTTCGTTCGGGCACTTGTGAGCTCATGGGCCCTTGATGTAAGTGGATTACAATGCTAGGTCGGTCTCACAACCTGAAGGGGGCGACTCCCGCGGTTGCCAATGCAGCTTCATTTCCAACACATGATAGAGTAGGCTCTGAGGCTTGGCCCATTTGGATTTTGTAGACCCAGAAATGATGCTTTCCTAACTAATGCCTGTCCTCTTTCTCACTAGGGCTCAAGAGAGGCGACTTCAACACCATCCACTCCAAGTCATTCCTTGTCCCGCAGGACTAGAGACATGCAGCGCTTGTTTGCACACCCAAAAAATAAGAAGAAGCAGAAAGACTGACGGGGAGACAGACAGCCAGACACATACAGTGTCTTAGAGCGGTGGGAGGGGAAAAAAGAAAGGAAAAAAAAAAACGAATTGATACATTATGAGCTGGCATTTTCTTTATGCCTCACAGCTTCAATTGCAAGGTCGGGATCCCTTCATCTCAGTGGCCACACGTTTATTTTCTGGGGATTTATTTGATGGCATTTTGGAGCCGACCCCTCTTAGCCCTCCTCTTCTTTGTTGAGACAGACAGACCCTTTCTGCAGCAGTTACTTGACGGATGTCTAAGGCAAGGGTGTCGTCGAAGTCTCAATAAAATTATATATTATTTTATTCCGCTGTGAAGCTACACTTCTTCTTTCATGTTACTCTGAACTAGTCATTGACCCAGCTATTGTCACCGACTGCGTTCATGCTGGTTCACGACAAGGACAATATGGATCGTTTCTTCCCCCCTCTCATCTTACACCCGGACTCAGCTCCATTCGGCCGGGCTTCTTCTCAGAACGAACTTGCGAGACAAACAGTGACCCCTCCCTCATCTGTAACAGATGGCGCTCGTTTGGCCCCTTCTCACCATGGCTATCCCTGTCCCGCAATCGGGAATTGGACGAGTTCCCATTCTGGCAGTTCAGAGACGACGATGTCTCACCACCATCATCAGCACAATCACCAGTCATGGAAGCCTCCGCTCTATCGACACTCTTCTTCTCCATCCGACGCTTCACCCGAGGAAGAAGTACCGAGTCTGTTTCCTACTCGCAATGTTGAGTCTTCCGAGTGGCCATCTTCCCTGGCCGCATCCAGTTGTTCGGATTCGAAACAAGTAAAGCTCGAACCAGGGCATGTTCACGAAAGCAAAGGCTCGCTGCTCTGGTCACGGGCGCTAGGAGCCCAGCAGCCGCCATGCTCGCTTGAATCTGGCACCTATTCCGTACCTTCTCAGATAGCTGCACCGTATCCAACGCGGCCGGATACTTTTAAAACGGCTTGTCCTACCCCACGGCTGCCACCGCCGTCACTGGCTTTCGCGAGCTCATCTCGTCGTTCGTTCCTATCCGGCAAGGTGAAGACCCATACAAACAGACCGGGATTCCACCATGAGGAGCTACAAACTAGTCCCGACGACACCGGAGAGGAGGCAAACTCGGATGCCCCATATTCCTACCTTATCGAGAAAGCTCTCCTGGAGGCCCCCGGTAAGAGACTAACGCTTCAGGATATTTACGCCTGGTTTGAGAAGTGTACAGCTAAAGGAAGGGATCGTTCTTCCAAAGGCTGGCAGAACAGCGTTCGCCACAACCTCTCGATGAATGCGGTATGTTATGCTACTTCACTCTACCCTCTTCGCGATCGCGTGTACTCTTTCCTTGCGCCCCTTGATATTCTCCGAGTACTGATATGGTACATCATCCAACAGGGGTTTGAAGCAGTTCGCGAGGAGGAACCCGGCAAGAAGCCCCAGAACTACTGGCGCCTAACGGAAGAAGCCGTCAAGTTTGGTGTCCAGTCCACCACACGGTACCGGAAGCAAGCGAGTTGCAAAAAGACATTGACCGCGGACCCACCAGCACCCCAACGCCAGCGATCAGGGGCGAAAGGGGGGAAAGCTACGAAGATCAAAGCCAAGCTCCGTGGGCGCCCATTAGGCCCAGAGGAGTTGCGAAAGGACAACTGTCAGCGTGAAATCCCACAACGACCGCTGCAAAAAGCCTTCTATAGTCATGATTTCCGATCCACAACCACTACGACGCCTGCGGCGACGACGGTGATATCGTCTTTTCATGTGTCAGCGCCGGTCACACGGTTATCGACCGAGTCATTCGACTTGGGTAATGTGGTTGGTTGTGCAGATCCCCCTCCATGCGCGCCGATTTTTTACGGCATGGCAGGATCAGGACCGGATTGCCTAGCACTGGACAGCAGCTTTCTGGGATGGGGAGGACTCCCTTCATTTTCTGCTGGGCTGATGACCGGGCCTGGGATCTCTGCGGATCTTCACCTGGGGTTATTGGAGGGTGGAGCAATCAGATAGCGTCTGCTAGCAAATGGTCCATGAGGTTTCGAATGTAGTCATTCCTTAAGTGGTCTTGCCATGTGTGAGCCATGCATTACTCCCTGTTCAGATTTCTCATAAACAATAGGCTCTTTCGGCTGTCATGTGTGCCAGCTCCCTGCAGGAGCTGATGGCAATACGTGTGGCGCTTCGGAATTGGTTTGATTTCATTTCACTGGCTGCCAGTGTGAGATTCTTCCCTTTCCCGAATGAGATATATGGCCAGCCTAAGTACTAACAGTAAGTACCTATCTCTTACAACCACAGACTACCATACCTACGTGGCTCGGAGAGCCTCGGGATGCACGCCATTATACAACAGACTGACGAGGGTTGATGGAGATGACCGAAGGGAAGTCCTCGGCTGCAGCCCAAATTGCCATTTTTATTTCTGGCATGAATGCCATCGGCGATGGCCAGTGTCCTGCAAAACAACTCCACGCGTTATTTCCTTTTTTTGTTTCCCCCACCACGAATCAGAGATGAAATAGAAGATCGGTGCGCGGATCGAGGCCTTTATTTCCCTTTTCACATCTTCCAACCTGTCATAATTGAACCTAACTTTGGTCGCATCATCTTCCTGCACCTCCACTTAGCGTATATGTACGGTACTTCCCTAGTGACCGAAGACACCAATTCAGATGCACTCACCTACCGAAAACCGGGCTAATGCAAAGAATTTGGCGGCGTCCGTTCGAACTAAACTTCTAATTTTCGTGTTTCAACTTGTTCGACTTGTCCCGAGACTACTTGAATAGTACTAGGTAGTCTCCCGATCATGGATGACTCTCTCCGTCTCTCTCAGCTCTCCCTCAATCCACCCCTCGTCCTCCTCCTCCTCCTCTTTCCCCCCTTCTGCCTCCTCCACTCCTAAACGCCGGATTTCCCATGGATGCCCAAGAGGGCATGGCGCTCCTACTACAGTACATACCTACCTTAGTGCTAGATGTATTAAAATTCCTCGCCCTTCCTGTCCATACCTACTCATCCCACTTCAATGCCTACCGCTCTTCCTCCGGCCCTTGTCGGTTGCCCCCCACCCCCACCGCCCTCTATCATACCAACGAATGCGCTCGAAGGATCTAATGATTTACGATATTACGGTGTCCTGCGGGAAAGGAAGAGCTATCTGGAGTGTGCGTTAGACCCGATGATCGGCCGCAGTATTCTGATTGCTGCTTCACCGGGCGGTTCCCCTGCTTCGCTAATCAATCATGACAATGATACTCATTTCAGCCTTGGTTAGAAACTGTCGGGCCTCATACCCATAGCACGGCACGGCACGGCAAGCAGCGCCTGCGGGTTGTTGCCGGACTGGCAGCATCTAATCTCGATCTGACTTTGGTGTCAAAAATCCTTAGATACCTAAGGCATCCCATCCCTCGAACTAAGGTGCCACGCCTGATCCTCCTCACTTCCTAGTCCGTGTTAGCGTCTGGGGCTTCAAGGAACAATGTCACCAAATGTCATCCCGTGCTGATCTGGGGAATCACCGAAACACATTGGTGACAGCAATTTTGAACCCGCATATCCCGCCACCCACCCTGCCTCCTTGACCCTAGGATTCATTCATGAGGATTTGAAGAAGTTAGGAATATCGAGCGGGCTATCATTGAGCTGCGACCAGCATTGATGGTACGCTGGGCCTACGCAGGTATAGTTGCTACTAGCTGGTAACTATGAACCACTACTGACTAGTGATTGCGGATAGTGGAGCCATCGTACGGATCGATCAATCTGATCATTTTTCACTACACCATAAATTGCTTACGGTGGTATCGGTAACGCTCGCCTTCGCAATGGTCCCGACTGGCTGATACTAGCAAATGCACCAGTGAGTGGGCTGAGAGGAGAGATGACCGGGTGATGGATATCCCATGCGCAATGCCCACCACGCGTAAACGAGGATTTCTACTGGTTTTTGGCCTGCATCTCCGTCCTATCCGAGTTCTATCCGAGTTCCGACATGTGGTAGATGATAAGTCCAGGCATCACTTCCTCATTCCTCATCACTTATAGGCCGCAAAAGTACAAATACTACTGTAGGTTGGTACCGTCTACCATTTACCGTGTCCAGGATAGCGCTTTGGCAGAGAAGACTTGCGCTAACATGACCTTCATCAAACTAAGGCGTTTCGCCCATCCAAATCATAACCCTCAGCTTCCAAGTCTCGACTCCCGTTACCTAATTTTAGTCCTAGCTATGCCTTACCCGATAAGCGGAGGGGTTAATGCCTCTTCGGATGTCCTGGTACTGCACAGTCTGCTGATACGTTGCTAAGTAGCCGAACATCTTCCAGTCGGAGAGCATAAACTTCGAACCGATGGCAGAAAACAAAAGTACATTCTTCTCAGCCTTTCGCCGCTCTGAGTCAATCTCATTAGTCGAGGATGTCTCTCAAGAGTGCTTTTCCAGCCACGAGCGCGTCAACATGCTGAAGGCAACCCAAGTCCACAGAAAGTTGATACGAGCGGAAATGCATCCGACCGTGAACGCTCCGCTTGCGGATGCATGTTTAGCTCAAGATCAAGAGATATAAGGCTAGCATGGTAGCAGTGGAAAAATAACCTTGACCACGGGCCCTTTGCCGATCTGACTACTTGATTCTTGATTTCTCATTGAGCAAGATTACCTTTCCTATCAGCCGTGAGCCGATGAGGAGGTGGATTCATACATCATAACTCCAATCTCATAGGGTTGCCGATTTCGTGGTGGTGTGATACAAACCCGGACGACGTCTCTCTTTCTCGGCTACTCAGCAGCTCTAAACTTCGTCATTCTGCTGCAACTTGCTTCATTGAGTATCATTCGACCGCCTGTTGCCTTTCACTAGTACAGCCTCAGCCTGTCTTGTCAACGGAGTCGGACAGTGGCATCGTACTTGTGGGAAGATAAGCATGTACAGTACTTTGTATAAACGCCAACAGATGGATTCGATATGTATCTCACTCGGCCTGGAGCGGCAGTAGTCGGTTGCCTTCTTCGCTCTCAACCATCTCGGTCCAATCCCCGACATGCTGGGGTTTCAATCAGTAAGTTATAGTGCCCCCTCCCCTCCTCTTGCTGAACCAATCCATGATGCCTCTTGTCCCGTACCCATGCTTACTGCCATGCCCCACTTCTTATTTCCTTTGTTCTCGACCAAACAAAGCTAACGGGATGAGACACTGGATCGAGATCATATTGGGGCGTATACCCAGCTCGTCGCTGGTATCTGGCTTTCATTGGTCGGAACAGAAGTCACCACTATATCCTCGACATGCTGAGCATGACACTAATAGTAGCACGTAGGCTATAATATCCGACCAATGGCTACCGGAACCTGGAACTGGCTGATGCTAATGCTAATGCTGATGCTGATGTACGCAGCGGGCGTTGGCCATTGTTGAACGGTCAATCTTGTCCTGAATTCAAGCGGAGAAAATGAGGTCGGCGGTTTGAGGTTCGGAAGACGGACGCCAACAAGTGGCGGTGGAGGTTGGTTTGTTACCATCTTGCTTATCGCCTTTGGGTCTTTGCACCTTCAGCGGCTCTCTCACCGCTGGACAGGAACGTTGCAGGACGATACAGGGCAGGTATGGGGAAAGGGTGGGGACAAGGCATGGAGAGTGATGTCCCCGGTGTCACCCAAGACTTGACTAACTCAACAGAACAGAATACTAACTAACCAGACCAAAGACTTATCTCGGTATCAGGACATAGTTCCTGTTGAGTTGGACAGGGACGCTTCTTTATCTTCGTTTAATTCGCTTGACGCGCCCATATTTTAGGACTCATGCAGCCTTGAAACAAACGGACGTTCTAGGTTCTTCTCTGGAGAAAGTCCTTTTCAGCGTCTGAAAGGCCTTAGGTCCCAAGCAGACAGGATGAACGCTGCCCAGGCTGCAGGCTAGCTGACAACCTCTCTCTCCATGTCAACTCAATAGTATAGCAGCTGCGGGCGAATCAAGAATGGAGGACAGCAGTACAGGAACCGAGACGCAACCCGCGCCTGTCAGATTGCCTGTCAGCTGCATGACATAGTACTGTAGTGCACCGACACGATCAAGGGTCTCGATCCCACGGACCGAGAAGGTATTGCCCGTGATTGACGGAGGAGATATCCTAGTTGAGGAATAGTTTTGTCAAGTAAATGAACGGGAAGCGTTGAATGCTTACCTCGAACAAAGAGCAGACGCTCGACTAAGTTTATGCCCGGCGGATGTGACAATGGGGGCATCCTTATCTCTGTGAAGGTTTCTACAATTCCATTCTCCCCAATCAGTTGATTGATTTGCCTAGCCTGTTACGAGGTATGTGCCAAGTTGATGTGCATCCATGTACATGTCAGTATGCAGGCAGCGTCAGGGTCAGCCCTTCATGAAAGACAGCACAAGAGTAAAATAAATCATTTTCTTTTTTGAAAGGGTGAAAAAGAAGGCCCATGTATCACAAGGCAAGCCATTCCCTCATTATACTATCATCCAGGCACCTGGGGAAACATGCCATCCAATCCACGCCCAGACTTTTAAAACTGATCGTCCATCCTTATACCCAGGACAGGGACTTGCGAGAAGTTCGCGGAGGTAGGAGGTTGTGGAAAAGCCCGGTTTGAACAGGCGCCGCGCAACCCGGACTCACGTGAGCTTCTAGCCTGTGCATGCTTTGCTATGGCGCCTTTGACTCTCTCCTCTCCCAACCGACCATCCCTGACATCAACCCTGCCCGTACTGTCCATTAGTACTTTCTGTCTCCTGCCCTTTTCTGACACTCCCCTCTTACTATCCATCGCCCTCTCCCCGGCGCCCCCCTGTTTTCCTTTCTTTCTTTGCGTGTTCTCGCCCTGCAGGATGTATACGCTTGGTTACCCTTTTTCTTTGAGTCGTATGCAAAGGCTCGGCTGTTGCGGTAGTTATTTATAGAAGCGATGGAAGCCACGCGTATGACCGGATTTTGGGGCACGTTAGGCTTGACGCATTGACAAATTTGGGGCATAGAA